ATATGAATTTGATGTTGAGGATGATTTTTCAGAAGTGAGCTTGGACCTAAGGGAGTAAAATCTAAAGCAATGCACTGTCTACCTAATGTCACACCAGGCAGAGGGAGAATGATCGCTATTCTTTGTTCTTATTCTATTGATCAGAAAAAGATTCTTTAACGGAGTAGAAGACAGATGGCATCTTGTCAAGATATTCAGTATATCACAGCTATAAACATTTAAATAATTCATTGTTTCTATTTCAAAATACCAAACTCTTCTGAAACGTATTTTTCTGTTTTATCTCTCCTACTTTTGCATAGATGAAATGTCAACATATAGTCAAGAACATCAAGAAAAAAATAACTCCCGGTAAATCTCTGGCATGTTATTTGAGTAGAAACATTTGTTACATCAGGTGAGTCAGAAACAAATTTCTTAGCCATCAGTTATCTGAGCTTCTCAGGTATTTTAAAAGAAAAACAAAATTATCATTCAATAGTCTAAAAGAAGTTAACTGGAGGAACTGAGTGGAAGGATTCCTTGGACTACAACAAGTGATGTTTCACTTCATTCTTGGTATATTAATCCCTGTAACTGCACAGTTTAGTCTGTTTATTGCACTTACTAAAATAGCTATTAAAGCTTTCACTGCTTATAATTTTTCCATTTCCTTTTGTGAATATTTACAACGTCTGTCTACCTTTACTAGACTTTAAATTCTAGGAGAAGATAAGAATTTTATTCTCTGTCACTGGGATTCATTAAACATTTGGTGAATGAATGCACAAATGATAAGCAACACATTGTTAGAACTCAGACCACTTCCTTAACTTTCTCCATAAAATCACTTAGCAAAGGAAATATGAAAGGTAAATGCCTGATCATTAACATCATCTCCCTAATTTACTTAAGTGAATAAAATTGGAGAATTTTAAAGGGATGAGTTATGACAAATTTAAAAGGATGAGTTGTGAGTTATCTTATTTTTTGCATCAGCAGACACCATGCTTCATGCACAATTCAAAAGAATGGTACTGTGTGTACTGTGCTATTTGGAGAGTAAAAGACCACTAGATAGCACATGGAAGTCTGGATCCTAATCTCAGAGAGGTAAGACAGCTTGCCCCATAGTTAGGTAAGGAGCTTTGCTGTAACTGTGCTATGAAGTTTTCTTATAAGTGTGCTATGAACTTTCAAAAGGTGCTTTTCAATTTTTGAAACATTTTCACATAGTCTCATTTAGTCTACACACTAACAAAGCAAATATTACAGTCCCATTTCCAATTATACATTGTAAATGTATAAACTAAAGCAGACAAAAGTTAACAACTTTGCCCAAAATTGCAGTTATTAACTTTAAGGAACAGAGCCTTCACTCAGATTCAGCAGTTCTGACTTCAGTTACCTTCTAACTTTTCCACAGTGTCACCTCTGAGACTGACTATGTGCCAGCTTATTTGGATCATATATATTTGCCCTCTACATTTTCTTGCTCAACTTTATAGTAAAATAAACTTAAGAAAAAACAAACACATTATCTCTTCATTATTCATAACTGCTTTGAAGGCTAGGTTGGGAGTAGAAAACTGGGGGGCTTTGGGTAGATTATTTCATATTTTGGGGCTTCATTTGTAAAATACAGAGATTGGATAATTGATTCTAAAGTTCTTTCCAGCTCCCAAGTTTAATAATGTTATATGTTTATCTTTTTTATTTTTTGCACACTTACCTTTACTTTTGTCTTCACCAGACCACCTATTTTTCTTAAGTGTTTTCCTTTAATTTCGCAAATATATCATAAAATAATATAGATACAAGTGTACTGATGTAGGAATTGGGGAGAAGAAAGCCAAACAGAGGCACAACCAAAGGGCTTTAACAGTCCCATAAGATGTGCTAAATGTGGTTTGTGTTTGGAGAAATTGAGAGTATAATTAATTAGAAGCTAAAGTTATTCAGTGACTACTATATAACTAATACTGCTGTGTTTATTAAATATTAACTAATTTAACCTTAACAGCATTCTGAGGTATTAGTCTCACTTTACAGCAGAAGCACAGGAAAGTTAAATAATTTGTCCAAGTAAATAACTAGGGAATGATGCTATCAAAATTTGATTGCAGCGGTTCCCTGGTGGCTCAGTGGTAAAGAATTCACCTGCAGTGCAGGGGGTGTAGGTTCGATCCCTGGGTTGGCAATATCTGCTGGAGGGGGCATGGCAACCCATTCCAGTATTCTTGCCCAGAGAACCCCAAGGACAGAGGAGTCTGGCAGGCTACAGTCCATAGGGTTGCAAAGAGTCACACAACGTCTGAAGTGACTTAATACGCACACATGGCTTACTCCAGGGACCAGGCTGATCCCCACTTCACTATACTGTGTGGCTTTAAGGTACTCCCCATTCAGTAGTAAAGATTAAATGAGCAAAAAATGCACCATAGCTATAATACAAATATATATATATAAGTGTGTTAAGTCTTACAGAACACTATGTGTTTTATGAATGGTTATAGAATGTCTATTATGTATTAGGAACTTTTCATCTATTATTAGGTATTTAGTTTCTTTAGTAAATATGGAAAATTAAGCTCAGGAAATCAACCTTCCCAAGTCACGAAAATAACAGCACACCAGGGGTTTCATCTCAGGTCTAGGAGACCACGTTCTTGCCACTGTACCATGCAGTCTCACACATTCAATCAGTTATGGCATTCCTTAAAGTCTTCATAGAGAGTAAGAGTTGAGATGAATTCTGAAAAAAGAGTAGGCTTCTTTCAGATGGAGAAAGGGCTCAGGGCAAAGTAAGGGAAAGCATTCTCAGAAGGAATGGTTGTCCCATCTGCCGGGAATAAAGTGTTAGTCGCTCAGTCGTGTCCCACTCCTGTGACCCCATGGACTGAAGCCCACCAGGTTCCTCTGTCCTTGGGATTCTCCAGACAAGATTACTGGAGTGGGTAGCCATTCCCTTCTCCAGGGAATCTTCCCAACTCAGGGACTGAACCCAGGTCTCCCATATTGCAGGCAGATTCCTTACCATCTAAGCCACCAGGGAAGCCCGTGTGAACAAAAGATCATGTGACCTTATGCAAGGAACGAATTACCAGGAGTGTCAAAGCAAATTTCCAAAGTAGTTTTAATCCAGAAAACACTCATGGAGTGCCAGACATGGTGATTTGTACTAAATACTTTAACCTCAGAACAAAATTGAATAAAGGGAATTTTATAAATTAAAATGGTCTAAGTGTACAGCCTTCCAGTGGTCTGACAGTCCAAGTTTAGACTTTATAAATATCTCAGAAAAGTACCTTGATCATTTGCTCCTTTAACTGTAATCCTCAGAAATGTTCTTCCAGAGGGACTCTTTACTTGAAACTAAAAGCATACAGTTTAAGATTATATATGCTGACCAGGACCTTATTGTTCAGTCGCTCAGTCATGTCTGACTCTTTGGGACCCCGTGGACTGCAGGACGCCAGGCTTCCCTGTCCCTGACCATCTCCCGGAGCTTCCTCAAACTCATATCGATTGAGTTGGCAATGCCATCCAACCATCTCTCCCTCTATCTTCTTCTCCTGCCTTCAATCTTTCCAACCACCAGGGTCTTTTCTAATGACTCATCTCTTCGCATCAGGTGGCCAAAGTATTGGAGCTTCAGGTGCAGCATTATTTGATGAGGACCTTGGTTTCTGGTATTCTGGTATTCTCTGGTATTAATCCACAGACTCTGAAAATCAGACCAGCAGGTAATACCAGCTGTCCATTACCACAAACATTTAGCTTGACTATAAATGATGGAAACAAACAAGTAAGAACTAGTCTTTATGAAATAATATGTGCCTCTTTGAGGAGAATGCACTCTTAAGGAAAACCAGTGAGAAATATTGTCTAGCATTGGAGCCTGTTATCTTAGTCATCCTTTCCCACAAGATTGACATTGCCTAAACTCCTGGCATATAAAAAGGTTAATGTTTTTTGACTGCGTAACAAACGTAAGATCTGATTAAGGCAACTCTGAATTATATCAACTAAATTAAAATAATTAGGATTGAAATTTGGAATCCGTGTAAAAGACTCTACAAAGATTACTTAAACCTCAAATCTTACTTTGAAAATATCTTTAAGCAGAAATAAGAAATCTCTTAGTTCATTATATTTCAATTTAATTCACTAAATAACTTAAGAAATCTATCAGCAACCGACAGTTGCCTACCTGGTACAAACATAAATGTTTGTGTAGGGATTAAATCTAGTCTCAGTTTAAAATCGGCAATATTATTTTTAACTGAAAAACTAGGTTATTTTATTGGTTCCTCTCATCATCAGGGAGTAAAAAAGGGCTTTTTTTTTTTTTTTTTTTTTTAAGGACTACTTTAATGTGCATTCTAACAGGAAACGCGAGATTTCCAGCAATGCTTGCAAAAATAGGCCCAAGAAGCTCATCCCTTTCTGTTAAGAACTTGTGATTTTTCTGCGCCACCTTGTGGCCATAATGCAACTACTACACGTGAAAATTAAAGGCTTTTTCCTGAGCTGGTCAGGCCTTCGAAACAGCCGCAGTGCGGGAACCTGCCTCTACTCAAACACGCAGAAAATGGTGTCTTTCTTTGTAGTCAGTGATGGGAAACAGACTTGCATTTTCCCTCCGTTCTCCTCCATTTCCTTCATTCTTTAATTCCTTATCCTGGAGACCGCCCTCCCACCGCCCTCCCACCGCCCTCCTAGGATCGTTTCCGCGTTTGACCGCCTCTACCTCCCGGGGCTTGCGGTGGGTACTGCCCCCTTCCCCATCCGCAGCCCTCCCTCCAGGTCCCCGCGGCGCCTGGACCTGCAATCCCTGCCGCGAGGGCCCGCCCCCTCACACTGGCAGCCAATGGCGGCTCGGATCCGCCCCGCCCCGCCCCTCCCGCCGCGTCCCGAGCGAGTTTGGGCCTGGGCGGCGGGGCTTGAGCCCCTGGTTCTGCTGTTAGGCTTCGGCGGGCGCACGATCGGGAGGCCTGCGGCCTGGCCTTGGGGAAGCCATGGACTCGCAGGGGCTGAAGGTGAGCGGGCAGGATGTGGCCGCGTGTTGCTGTCGGGGGATGGCGAGGGGCCGGGGGGCGTGGGGGAGCGCGCGGTCCGACCCGGCGAGGCCGTTGTTTCTTGCTGTGCCCGCTGCCCAGTCCGGCTGGGTGTCCCGGTTTGGGGCGCCGGCCTGTGGTTTACATCACCTGCTCTCCCTCCGCCGACCCTGCGAAGGAATCTTCCTGTCGGGCAGCCCTCCCCACGCGCTGCTTCCGAACTGCCGTTAAGGTGCTTGTCCCGTCTTGTTGGCCGTGTTTACTTTTACTTTTGCACCCTGTTTGCTTATAAGGTTTTCAGTCACTTTATGACCCCAAGTGCGACTCCGAGGTGCGATTTTTAAGGACTCCAGCAAACTAGTGTCAGCAATCCCCCTGCGATGGTTAAAGGAGCAAAAAGATTTTATGAAATCAATTAAAGACATAGGCTTGAAAATGGAGTATTTTAGGGTGATGGTCGGACACGACTAAGCGACTGAACAACAACTTCTCTGTTTATCACTGTTGCATCTGTTCGGCAAATTTTAATGATGATCCACTTAAGAAATGATACGAAAACAAAATATGAGACTTGGAAATAAAAGAAGTTACTTTTTAGGATCATGATCTTCTCCATTCATTTGTTCACTGATTCCCTTGTTCATTTGTTCACTGATTCCCTTGTTCAACACAGGTTGAAGGAGGCTCATTGTGTGTCCACTGGAACTGGGGATAGTAATGAATAGAACAGTCCCCGCCTTCACTGGGGGCGAAGTGAAGTTTTATAGTCTATTGCTGGCGAAAACCTTAATTAAATTAACTCAACAAATGTTTATTGAATGTGTCCCTTGTGTCTGGCATTGTTCTAAGCCCTGAAGATAATAAACCTTGCAGATAGTAAGCCCTGCCATAATAAAGCTAAGAAAAACCCTCCCAAATCTTTCTACATTTGAGGGGCGGAGGAGTTAGTCCATCAACAGGTGAATGCAGTGTGTAGCGGTGTTTGCTGGTGATGAGTGGATGGAGAACACTTAGCCAGATGATAGTGTCTTTTGCTTTTTTGTCTGAAATTTTGCATTATTTTCCTGTGGAGCCTTTACGGTCTCCTTAAATTTGTTCTTCATGTTGCCACCTAAATGAACTTTTCAATAAAAACACTTTTCATGCTAAAAAGTGTTTTTAGCATGATCTAGTCTAAGTGATAACACTTAGTCTAAGTGATATCACTTAGACTAGAGAATCAGCTCAATAGGAGGTCCTTCTTGACCCCAGCTTTTTCTCCAACCTCCTCTTCCAATTATCCCTGTTCTGCTTAAGCCTCTAGAAATGGCAGACTTTCTCTATAATGGGCCAGGTGGTACATATTCAGGCATTATCAACCATAGGGTCTCCGTGGTATCCAGTCTGCCGTCATAGCATGAAAACAGCCACAGACAATACTTAAGCAAATGAGCATGGTTTTGTTCCAATAAAACTTTACTTACAGACCCTGAAAGTTGACTTTCATGTAAGTTTCATATATTTTTCTTCTCTTTTTTTGCTCACCCATTTAAACGTGTTAACTTGCTGGCTGTGTGAAAACAGGCAGCAGGCCAGATGTGGCACCTCTGCCTCAGTGTGCGAGGCCCCGCTCCACTCCAGCATGCAAGGCTGGTTTGAGTCCTCTCCATCCTCACCCGGCCCCGGGGAATCATGGCTTAGTTCTGCCTTCTGTGTCTGAGTTCCTCTTTTGGCCGACTTCCTTAGGAATCATGAAAGAGGAATGGGTAAGAGTATGTACGTAGGAAGTAGGAGTTTGTGAATAGAATCAGTTTCTAAGTCCTCCCCGAGAATTTTACTCTTCCATTCTCCCATACCCCAGCCTCACTCTCCTGCATTCCCAAAGCAGTTTATAAGCTGTTTTGTTGCATTTGCTACACTGTATTTCAGTCTTTTAAAAACTTTGCTTTATTGAAGTATGGTTGGTTAATAAGGTCGTATTTCTAGTGTACAGCAAAGTGACTCAGTTATAATTAACTGAGTTAATTATTTATAATTAAATGAGTTAATTCTTTTTCATATTCTTTTCCATTGTGGTTTATCACAGGATATTGAATGTAGCTCCCTGTGCTATAGTAGGTACCTTGTTGTTTATCCATTCTCTATATAATAGTTTCTGTTAACTCCAAATTCCCAATCTGTCCCTCCCCTATCTCCCTTCCTCCCTGGCTGCAACCAGGCTCTTCTGTCTGTGAATCTGCTTCTGTGTCATAAATAAGTTCATTTGTGTTATATGTTAATTCCACATATAAGTGATATCATATGTTATTGGTCTTTCTGACTTCACTTAGTATGATAATCTCTATGTTTATCCATGTTGCTGCAAAATGGCATTATTTTTATTACTAATATTCCATTATGTGTATATATATATATACACACACACACACACCTTCTTTATCCAGTCCTCTGTCGATGGACATTGAGGTTACTTCCATGTTCTGGCTATTGTAAATAGTGCTGCTGTGAACGTTGGGGTATATGTACCTATTTGAATTCATTTCCTCCAGATATATGCCCAGGAGTGAGATTGCAGAATCATACAGCAACTCTATTTTTAGTTTTTTGAGTAACCTCTATATTGTTTTCCATAGTGACTGCGCCAACTTACAGTCCCACCAACAGTGTAGTAGGGTTCCCTTTTCTCCACACTCTCTCCAGCAATTATTTGTAGATTTTTTTTAATGATGGCCAGTGTGAGGTGACATTTCATTGTAGTTTTGATTTGCATTTCTGTATTAATTAACGATGTTGAGCATCTTTCTAATGTGTCTGTTGGCCATCTGTATGTCTTTGGAGAAATGTCTGTTTAAGTCTTATGCCCATTTTTCTATTGGGTTGTTTGGGTTTTTTTGTTGTTTCTGAGTTGTATGAGCTGTTTGTATATTTTGGATATTAAGCAAATATTTTGCAAATATTTTCTACCAGTCCATAGGTTGCCTTTTCATTTTGTTTATGATTTCCTTTGCTATGCAAAACCTTTTAAGTTTGATTCGGTCCCATTTGTTTATTTTTTCTTTTATTTATATTGTCTTGGGAAACTGACCTAAGAAAACGATTGGTACAATTTATGTCAAAGAATATTTTGCGTAAGTTCTCTTAGAGTTTTATGGTGTCATGTTTATTTTTTAGTTTTTAAGTCATTGAGGTTTTTTTTTTTTTGTATATGTGGTATGAGGTTGTGTTTTAACTTCATTGATTTACATGCCACTGTTCAGCTTTCCCAGCACCACTTGCTGAAGAGATGGTGTTTTCTCCATTGTATCTATAACTCCAACATATTCTTACCTCCTTTGTTGAAGATTAGTCGACTATAGATGTGTGTTTGAATAGTCTTTAGATTCTAGTCTCAGTTGAAAATTTTAAGCTTTTCTGGGGCTTTTCTGGAACACAAACCATGTCGTATTCATCTTTATAGTCACTATACTTTGTCCAGTGCCTAGCACTCAGTAAATGTTTTTGGACTGGACAACCTAACCTGAACCAAGACAGTAGAAATTGGTATGGGGAGTGGGAAGTAGACTCGAGGAACAGAAGAGCCTACTGACTGGTTAGACTTAGGGGAACTGTGCAAACAGGAAGAGAGAATTCCTGACTAGGTGTGTCTGTCTGGCTTGGGTGGTGGAGAAACTGAAAATAGAAATCTGGAGCTGTGATGAGAGGTCTTGACACGTTTTTCTGTTTTTTTTTTTTAATATCAACTTATGGAGTTTGGAGGAACTTCTCCCCCCACCCCCCCGAATAGGAGGAATTGAGTATGATAACTCAACTCACAATGACCTGTAAATGACTACCAGCATTTTATCAGTGAGCAAACTGAGGTGCTGTCGGATGACCAGAAATTTGAAACCAGGTCTTTTTACTTTAAAATCCGTGTCCTTTTTATGTTACCATGCCCCTGCCTTTCAGGAGAGTTATATAGTGCTTAGCGATACTAAATGCTGAACAGAAAATCAAGCAAGATGATATTAAAAGTGTCCAACTCTTTGCTATCCTGTGGACTGTAACCTGCCAGGCTCCCCTGTCCGTGGAATTCTCCAGGCAAGAATACTAGAGTGGGTTGCCATGCCCTCTTCCAGGGGATCTTCCCAACCCAAGGATCCAACCTGAGTCTCCATCTGGGCGACCAGGGAAGCCCCAAAAGTGTCCTTAGTCGTAGCAAACCAAGTCACTTGCAACCTTGGGGAAGAGGCTCTGGAGGAAACCTGCGCTTTTCTGCGATGTGCTGTGGGGTCTCGGAAATGACATCTGCATCATGCTTTGAAGAAACTGGCTGAGAAGGGGCTAGAGAGCAGCAACTGGAGGAGGGAAGCATAGTGAAGGTTACAGGGGACGTTTGCCTGGCTGTTCTAGAAAAGCACTCAGACTGTAACCCTCCAGAAACAGTAGACGGTGGGAAAAAAAAGAAGCTGTATAGACACTCATTTTAACCCTGTCAATGAGTGCTTCGTTTGTGTTTCTCACGGATGAGCCAGCTGAAGAGTCATACTAGATAGGCATGGAATGCCCTGAGTTGGTTCGTGGGGGTGAACCAGGTGTATCTCAGTGATGGGGAATACGGAATATGGTTTCCCCCTTTGATTAGGTTAGCAACTAAGCCTTAGATAAGATCCTGAGAAAAACCGTATGAAGCATAGCTGCTACTGGGCTTCCCAGCTGGCACTAGTGACAAAGAACCTGCCTATCAGTGCAGGAGACATTAGAGACACAGGTTTGATCCCTGGGATGGAAAAATCCCCTGGAGAAGAGAATGGCTACCCACTCCAGTACTCTAGCCTGGAGAATCCCATGGACAGAGGAGCCTGGAGGGCCACAGTCTATGGAGTCCCAGAGTCGGACACGACTGAAGCGACTTAGCATAGCTGATAGTAGTTTTCTGCCTTATATATGAATAATATAATTTTGAAAAAAGCCCGAAGAGAGTGATTTCCTTTAAAAAATAGATTCTTTGTTTTACTGACAATTATTTATTGTGGAACTCAGAAAACAATCTTTGACAATAAATTGCTGGGTTGAATAGGTCGTTACTTTGTGATGCTACAAAAACAAAATAGAAACAAAGTGTTTGTTTGTTTTAGGAAACCTATGGTCTGGCGATAGAAGCCTCTAGTCTTTTTTTAACTTTTTTTGTAATCGAAAGTACTCTGACTTCAATATTGTTAAGAAAGCATTTAGGAGAAAAAGATTGAAATTATTAGAAAATATTGTTATTTTAGTAGTCTTTTGTTAATTGTGTTCTGTATTCCTTAGTACTAAGTTCTAGCCTTTAACAATATTTTAAGGAACTTGGAAGAAAAAATGCAGTAAGTTTTAGATTATTCAAGATCTTAGATTAATGCCTGCTTGTTAGAGTATTTCAGAACATTGGAATCTCTTAACTTTATTTCCTTTTAGGCTTTGATTAATTACTACTGTCAGGAGAGATATTTCCACCATGTGTTACTTGTTGCCAGTGAGGGAATGAAGAGCTATGGCAGTGACCCAGTCTTCAGGTTTTATCATGCCTATGCTACATTAATGGAAGGTATGTGCTAATTATGAAGCACTTCCACAAGTTTTAAATTCTTGTTTTGCACCAAGAATAATTTTTCACTTTGTGGTTTTGATTTTCAGGTAAAATTCAAGACGCTCTGCGAGAATTTGAGGCTGTTAAAAATAAACAAGATGTATCACTTTGTTCTCTAATTGCACTGATATATGCTCATAAAATGAGCCCTAATCCAGGTATAGTATTTAAGTATAATGCTTAGGCAGTTTTTTCTACTCAGTTCATTTTGATTTTTGTCAATTACCTTAACCTTCAGTCTGTTCATACTGTATCCATATTGTCTGTGGATACTATTAATATCATATTTGTTTTATCATCCTAACAAGACCTTAAGTTTATTAAGCACAAGAAATATGAGTCTTTTCTAGCTTTCATATTTCTTATATCCTATGGCAGAAGTTTCATTAGTCTGTAGAAATTGTTTGAATTAATATAAAGGTGACTATGTATTAGCAATGGTTAAACCAAAAAAGGACAGCTCAAAACAGGCGTATACCTAAATTACTCTGTAGCAGCCAGTTTTAACTTGTGTGCATATATAGGTAAATGCATTTCCTCTCTTCTACTATATCTTAAGCTTCTTAAAAGCCCTTATATCCCCCAGGGGGGCTAGCTCTTTTTAAGATATTCAGCAAATTTTTATGCAGTGGTAGGTTGGGAGATATGATTAGATGATATAAGGAACTTTATACATAAACCAGCAATTAAAATTATGTGAACTGTCTTAATATTTAGTGTATCTTAATGGCTGAGGCAGAACAGTATTAAAATTTTAGGTAATAACAAAGAAATAATATTGTGTTCATCCATACATACCTAGTAACAGCTAATAGAATCATAAAAAGAAATTTTGTTTCAAGTAATTGGACACTTACCAAATGTCATAGAATTTTTTAAAATAATAGAAAACAGTTTTTTCTTAATCAGAGTATCACTTACATCCTTCCCACACATATACATGTACAAATCAATAAAATGTTATTTAATATGTTTAGCTTGTAAACAGATCGAACAACTAGATACTTTCTGCACGGGACTGTATCAGATAAAGCAAGGGGTTCCCAACCTTAGGGTGGTAGACCAGTACCTCCTGTCAGATAAGTGGCGGTAGTAGATGAGCAATAAAATGCACACTAGATATAATGCACCTGAATCATTCCTAGACCAGCCCCCTCCAAGTCTGTGGTAACATTGTCTTCCTGGAACTGGTCCCTGGTGTTGAAAACATTGGGGATTGCTGAAGAGGAGCCACAAGAATTGTAAGAAGTGATCTGCAACATCAGTTTATAATTCAGTTGGGAAAGAAAATGTTAAACCCACAAAGATTAAATACTAATGTTACTATTAAGTAAAATGATACAAAATAAAACAGATGAGTCCATAGTTAATTGAAAATGGCATGTACTGTTTATCCATAGCAGTAGGCTGGGAGGGCTTTGTGGAAATGGAGATTGGTCTTGTCTTTGAAGGATAGCTAGGGTTTGAGTATAAAGCATATTTGTCAGACAGGAGAACTTGGTGGGCAAATATGTCAAAATGGTTCAGGATTAGGCTCCTCTCTGGATCCCCTTTTTCCGTGCGCCAGCAGGAGTGTGTATAGCTGGAGCAGAGAGTTTGCATAGGAAAGCTAATGTAGTCAGTAAGCCTAAAAAGAAAAAAAAAGTAACAAAATATTTTCTTCGTGGAAAGAAATTGTCATTTAATTGGTTATTCCCAAGAGTACTGGTTCTGTTGGAAAATGTGATTTCCAGGACATTAAAAAGATGGAGGCAGAACCATTGTGACACCTGTGTCCTCACTTGACTTTGCATAGATGATGCTGAGTGGGCTTGCACTCAGGAGAGGCCCAGAAGCCTTTCAGTCTCCCTGAGAAAGGGCCTAGATTGTTCTTGTATGTTCTTCCGGAATATTGATGAAAGCCCTGGTAATGAAAAGGCTGTGATACATTAAGAATTGGAGCTGATATCTGGCAAGAGCCAGCTTTGTGAGCTAACTGATTCTCTGCTTGATGGAAATGTAGGCAGGAAGGTGCAATGCCTGCTTCTGCCCTGATAAGTTCTGTTTCTATATCATGACTATTTGATGAAAACTTCTGAAGGTGTTCCATGGGCATGTTGGGCAGAAGGGATATCTTGTCAATCAGTCTAGGCCTCCGGAATGAGATTTTGTTTCCTAAATTCAAAAAGTTGTACCTTGGTAATCCTGCACTTAAGTTTATATCACTAGAGTTAAGAGGAAGAGTCATGTACCTTTCCTTGGTAGCCATTTCCCAAAAGTTAGTCTGTTAGAATCTCAACTCTCAACTTTCACGTTTCTTTTTCCTATTACCTGACTGATCCACATTCTGATTCGACCAGGATTTGGATCTAATTGACGTTTGTGTTCTAAGCACATACATAACAGATTAAATAGAAGTGATTAGAGTTATAGAAGTCACTCAGTCATGTTGGACTCTTTTGTGACCCCATGGACTGTAGCCCGTCAGACTGCTCTGTCCATGAGATTCTCCAAGCAAGAGTCCTGGAGTGGGTAGCCATTCTCTTCTCTAGGGGATCTTCCCGACCCAGGGATTGAACCCAGGTGTCTTGTTTCTCCTGCATTGGCGGGCAGATTCTTTACCATTAACGCCACCTGGGAAGCCCATTAAACTCTATGAGTAGCAGCAATTATACCACTTTTCATTGGCCTATGACAGCAGCCTGACGTATGTTTTAGAATTGGATTAAGAATTAGGGTAATTTGACTACTAGTTCTGGATTTTCCCTTAATAATTGTCCTATATTAAGAGTCGTTACTAACTTTTTTTTATGTCTTGAGAATGACATAAACCATAGGATGGCAGTGTGGTCACAGTAGTTAGCTACAAATGGCTGTAGAGCATTTGAAATGTGTCTTACTTGAGGATATGAATTTTAAATTTAATTAATTTACTTTTACTGGTAGTTGATTCAGTTGTTAGAAATATGTTTAGGATGTATTTCCGTACAAATTGTGAAATTATTTGTTCTAGTTCTGTGAAAAATACCGTTGGTAGTTTGATAGGGATTGCATTGAATCTATAGATTGCTTTGGGTACTATAGCCATTTTGACAATATTGATTCTTCCAATCCATGAACACGGTATATTTCTCCATCTGTTTGTGTCCTCTTTGATTTCTTTCATCAGTGTTTTATAGTTTTCTATGTATAGGTCTTTTGTTTCTTTAGGTAGATATACTCCTAAGTATTTTATTCTTTTTGTTGCAATGGTGAATGGTATTGTTTCCTTAATTTCTCTTTCTGTTTTCTCATTGTTAGTGTATAGGAATGCAAGGGATGAATATATGATAGTGATTTTTCCAAAATAAATTTTATGAAATCTAAGTATAAAGATTTTCTGAAGAAAATTTAGCATCTTAATTGAGATGTGCTTTGTGTAAAGTGCATATCAGAATTAAGAAAGAAGGAAAAAAGAAATTATCTTCTTAATTTTCAAATGCAAATGAAATCATCATTTGGATATATTGGGTCAAATAAAATATATTATTAAAGTCAATTTTACTTCTTTCTTTTTACTTCTTTGTAGCTACTAGGAAATTTTAAATTACTTAGTTCAGTTGCTCAATCGTGTCTGACTCTTTGCAACCCCATGGACTGCAGGATACGAGGCCTCCCAGTTCATCACCAACTCCTGGAGTTTACTCAAACTCATGTCCATTGAGTCAGTGATGCCATCCAACCATCTCATCCTCTGTCACCCCCTTCTCCTCCAGCCTTCAGTCTTTCCCAGCATTGGAGTCTTTTCCAATGAGTTAGTTCTTCACACCCGGTGGTCAAAGTATTAGAGTTTCAGCTTCAGCATCAATCTTTCCAATGAATATTCAGGACTGATTTCCTTTAGGATGGACTGGTTGGATCTCCTTGCTGTCCAAGGGACTCTCAAGAGTGTTCTCCAACACCACAGTTCAAAAGCATCAATTCTTTGGTGCTCAGCTTTCTTTATAGTCCACCTCTCACATCCATACATGACTACTGGAAAAACCATAGCTTTGACTAGATGGACCTTTGTTGGCAAAGCAATGTCTCTGCTTTTTAATATGCTGTCTAGGTTGGTCATAACTTTTCTCCCAAGGAGCAAGTATCTTTTAATTTCATGGCTGCAATCACCATCTGCAGTGATTTTGGGGCTTGCATATTTCTTGCATTTATTTCTACTAGTGTTGCTATAAAGAGAACTGTATTCTCTGCTGTTAATCATCTGACCTGTCATAAACTCTTGATCTAGAATTTAATTTTCACTGTGTGTTTTTTCCCTCTCCCAGATAGAGAAGCTATTCTTGAGTCAGATGCCAGAGTAAAAGAGCAGCGTAAAGGAGCTGGGCCAAAAGTTTTGTACCATGCAGGCTTGTTTTTGTGGCACATTGGCCGGCATGATAAAGCGAGAGAATATATTGACCGAATGATCAAGATATCAAATGGGAGTAAAGAGGTAGCTGATTTTCTTATTTTGAAATAGTATCTTTAAAGAAAGCTTAATGTTATTTATATATTCAGTGGTATTCTTTGTTATTGCCCACTCTATGCTCACTTTATAAGTAACAGCTTTATTTTAATATTTTATAAAATTCTGATTTTTTTAGGTTGCTTTTTTAATGCAGTCTATTAGCTCTTGATGAGATCCCTTCCTGCTTCCTTCCCTCCCTTCCTTCCTGTCCTTTCTCTTTCCTTCCTTCCCACTCTTCTTATTGCACTGCTCTAGATACAGGACACCTTTATGTGCACTATTAATAGAAAGATAAGAAATGCATAAACTTTACTTTCATGAACGAATCACCTAGTAGTGTTGTAGAGCACATACCCAGTTAATATTATGAGAAAATTGACAAATGGAATGAGAAATGTGATTGAAATGTGATTAAAATGTGCAGGGAAATATTAGTTAGCATTTATTGCTCATTTAATTTGTACCTGGCACTATTCACCCATTACATAAATGTTAGGAAAATGAAGAAGAATTTCTTGAAGGAAGTAGTATTTGAGCTAAAATTTGAAAGATGGGTACAGTTTCCACCAGCAAAGATTATGGAAAAGGGAAGTAGATATACCCAACATGGGAGATAGTACGGAGATAAGGAAAACAAGGAGACATGTAGGTTCTGGGTACAGTGAGACCCTCACATCTGACCAGAGTTTAGGATATACAGGAGAGAATGGAAGAAAAGGTCGGAAAAGTAGCTTGGGGCAAATTGAAGGATCTTGAGGGGTAGGTACAAATATTTGTATCTAGTTTGATATGCATTGAGGGTCACTGAAGATTTTTAATCATGTCAGTGATACTTTAAAGTGAAAATTCAGAATATGAATTTAGCAAAGGTTTACAGGATGAACTGGCCTGAGAAGAAACCAGAATGCAGGCCCCTTTGCAAAGATAGTGCTTTCTGCAAAAGGTTTTAAGGACCTACACTAAAATTATACAGTGTATAGGAACTGGAGAATTATCAAATACCTGCAGGATTTTACAACTTACTACAAATAGTGCAGGAAAGATACGGAGGTGTCAGATATCAAGGATGTCTGTCTGAAGTTTTAAGCCTGGACAATTCAGAGACCAGTTAACGCAAACAGGAAACACATTGGGATGAGAAGGTAATCTTGGAGAGAGGTGATGTGTTTGCCTTTAGACGTGCTATATTTCAGGCACTGGCAGAACAGTGAGATGGAGACAGTAGATGAACTTTTGGAAAGAAGAGAAAAAATTAGAAGAGGTGTTGGACTAGAAATAAAGGTTGGGAATCATCCACAAGTTTGAAACAATTCAAATAAGGACAGTGATCTAGTGAGTACAAGTAGTACTGTTTAAGAATTCTTACCTGTCTTTTCAGGTGTAATACAGGGAAGTAAATATGATCTTAGTTAAAGATTTAGAAGGTTTAGTAATTCACCTAGAATTTTTTTTGACAGAAGGGAGCAGATTTCATAGCTTTTTATTTGGCATTAAAAAGAAAAATAGTATGCGAGTATCCATCTTATTTCTAATCCTATAAACCTTGCAGCCACTTGGCTTAGTAACATTTTTGAAGGAATGTTCATGACTGCTTCATTTTTAAATTCCTGAGGGCATTTTATCCTTTTATTTGAATCTCACCGGAATAGTCAAAGAGAATGAGATAGTTGCCAAATTATCTTAATATTTAATAAATGTGAAACAAGGAACTTCTTCCTCATCTTATTTCATTTGGTCTGTTTCCCCAAAAAAAGTAACAAATTCTTATTTATGTACTGAATTACATGTTTAACAATTATTGATAAGTTTATTAGAAAAGCCCCATGTAAGAATATTGGTTATTTAGCATAAATGGAATATTTTACAAACTTCTTCATATTAATACTGACTATAGTAGTAATCTTAAAGACTGAAATTCATAATAGTTCTCAAGTCTCGAGGCTGGCAAGGGCTTGAAAGTGATTTTATTATAGTTTTTTTTTATAAGATTATTCAATAGAGTGATTTTTGTGACTGATTACAAATAAGAATGATGTGGAGTTTAACTCCATCAACATTTGTTTCTTTCTTTTCCAAGAAAAAATAAAATATTAGAATTATTTGTTTTACAGGGACAGGTTTTGAGAGCATGGCTTGATATTACAAGAAGAAAAGAGCCTTATACTAAAAAAGCATTAAGATACTTTGAAGAGGGATTGCAAGATGGGAATGATATTTTTGCTCTACTGGGTAAGGTGAGTTGGAGTTAGATTAATAAAATGATGTTTTAAAATTTATTTGTAATATATCTGAAACCCAACAAAACTAAGTAGCTCAAAATGATGGTTTTAAATGTTACTTTCAACTTTCAACTGCATTTGTATAGGATGATGAACAGTAAACTAGGGAAAAGTACTCCTTGCCAAATTCTTAAATCCTGGGTCAATTTTAATTGTTCTTGTTGTTGCTCTTGTTAGCTGTAGTTCTTATATTATTTACTCACCAATCATCTATGATGTGTCTTAATATGTGTGAGATATCACTCTACATACTAGGGATACCCTGAGCAAAATAAAATGTCTTTATGAAGCTTATGTCCTATTATTGGAGAGAGACAATAAACGAAGCAAGTTATATAGTATATTAGAAGGTGATAAGTACAATGGAAGAATATAGAGCGAGAAGCACAACTGGGGTATGAAAGCAGTTTTAAATGATGTAGTCAGAGAAAGTGACATTTGAGCAAAGATATATAGGAGGTGAGGTTTAAAGCCATGTGGGCCCCTAGGGAGAGCATTAGAAATAGATGGGTAGAGAGTTCATATACCTTAAGGCATATTCATTTAGTCTGGAGACTAAAGCAGAATGAGTGAAGGGGAGAGAAGTGAAGGATTGAGGGAAAGAAGGTGAGTGTCAGGGCAGGTGGGCATGGATGGGATAGGGATGAGAGGCTGGCGGCTTCTGTAAAGCCTTTGGCTCTTGCTTTGAACTGGGTAGATTGGCAGCTGATGAAAAGAGAAATAGCATGCTATCACTTACCCATACATTGGGAGGGATAACCAAGTGGCAAAGTCATTAGAAATCATTGGTGGGCGGAAGTATTTAACTTGGACTCTTTCTTCAATCCCATTGATGACTTTGAATGCCTTAAAAAATTTTTTTTTTAATTTCAGCAAAAAGAAATTAAATTTATATTAGGAAAACAGTCTATTAAATTAGCAATTTGGGAGAGGGGATAAAAAAGAAAAAGAGGATTATTAGTGTCTTGGCTACTGCCAATGTCCCTACATTGCCCTTGTCAGTTTCCATGGCTAGTGAGCTTGTTCAGATGCTTGTCATCAGGACAACTAGAATTCATACTGATTGGACTCAGGTTTTGCCTAATGGCACTGCAGGAGTTTATGGGCATATAGCAAGTTTTTTTTTTTTTTTTTTAAGTTTTTCTGTATGATTTCTCTTCCTCTCTAGTCCTTAAAGCAAAGCTAGTAGATAATCTTCTCAGGTAGGGCTATTTCCAGTGTTAATATAAGCAGCTTAGGAGGATTTTCCCTTTTCCTCTAATACTTTTTAGACTGATATAACCCATTCTTTTTCTTTTTCTGATATAACCCATTCCAATTATGTATGTATTTTTCAGTTCATTCAGCCAGAGGCTTGCATTAGTTGAATTCCAACCCGAATGATATGCACCAATTATATAGCAAATTTAGTTTCATTTAATATGCTATGTTGCATTCACATGGGAGGTAATGGTCTAAGGAAGTACTAAATGTGCTCTGTTGGTATGATTTTATTTAAAGTTACCAGCTATTCAGACAGATTCCAAAGGTGTCTATATATTTTTTAAAATTATCTTTATTCTTCTTTGCTATATTGTATGCCATTGAGAAGTTTAAATAACTTATTTTGATGCAATCAATGGCATCATTGGATGGTTCTCACACTTTTCCTTTAATTCTATGGGAATATAATCTCAAACTGATTTCAGGAATGTATTGCAGATATACTGTGCATCTGTTCAGGCAGATGCTCATTTTGAACTGAGATATTCTAGGACTAAATTTATTCCTGAAGGGGATTCAGTAACACGTTTTTAAAAATCTGACATATGATAAATAGGCCTCATCATCTGTTCTTAAAGCACATACTATATTTGTAGATTTATATTTTATGACCACGAAAGTAATTACAAGTACATTGTAGAAAAATTTTAGAATATAGTAATATCTGAATTAAAAATAAATATCAGCATTGGAGATAACCAGGTAAACTAATTATATTGTAAATGACACTTTTTTGTTTCATAAGTATAGATCTACAAATTAACATAATGACCTTTAATGGCACCTGAAATCTTATTAAATAAATATACTGTCATTTAATCCTATGTGGCCATTTTGGGTTACTTTAACTTTTTTTATTGTAAATAATCCTGCCATAAATATACAGTTATGTCTTTAAGATAATTCTTAGAAGTGAAAATATTGAGATAGTTTTGCAATTTATATTGCTTATCTCTAAAATTTTTTTAAGGCTGAAAGTAATTTTTTTAAAAAGATAAAAATTTCTTAGTTTTAGATGCTACTTACAGATATCCTGGAAATATTTTATTCTAAAATATAATTTTTCTGTTATAAATACATTCTTTTTGATATATATTTCAAAATTTTATCCTTTAATTATATTTCTGTTATTTAAAAGTGAATTTTAAAAATCACTTATTATATAAAATATTTTGATTCTGTGTGATGTTTCAAAATTTTGTTTGATTAAAACTTACTTTTCTGATTACAGAAGTGATAACTATTCCTTACAGAAAGGTCAGAAAGCAAAAATATAGAAAATGTTAAATGCTAGAATTCTACCTCACGTGCTTTGAGAACCTAAGTGTATATGATCACAGTTTTGATGTCACTTTTTACTTTTTTCTCCCATTAGGCACAGTGCCTTGAGATGCGCCAGAATTATTCAAGTGCTCTGGAGACTGTGAACCAGATAATCAAGAATTTTCCAAGTTTCCTTCCTGCTTTGGTAAAGAAAATGAAACTACAACTAGCCTTGCAGGATTGGGACCAGACGGTTGAGACAGCACACAGGTTCAGTAAAGCAAGATTTCACAAGTATCTTTGGGCCTGGTTTTAATTTCCAGAAAAAAGAAAATCTATGTGTAGTTTTTTCTTATAAGATATTTTCAATTTGATTTTTTTCAAATAATATAGAATTGAAGAAAAACCTTGACATTGCACTGTTTTTAAAGGGCTGAATTTATTGATTTACATAAATATATATTAACACCTGAGTAGTTATTCTAAGACACTCTTAAGGTTCAGAAGGATAATAATTGCTGACCTCATGAAGCTTATATTCAAATGAGAGGAACCGTGTAATAAGTAAACATATAAGAAATTTTGTAGGGTGCTAGAACGTTATAAGCTCAGTGGAGAAAAAGTAAAGCTGGAAAGTAAAATAGGGAGTTGAGGGAAGGGCTTCGATTTTATCAGCTGATCAGGGAAGGCCTCTGAGAAGATGGCATTTGACTGAGGGAGCAAGCATGCAGACATTCCAGAGAAGGTTGCAGACAGAGGGAAACGCAAGTGCAAAGTCCTTGAGGCAAGAGTCCGTGTCATGTGGTTAAGTGTGGGAAGGAGCAAGATGACTAGGCGGTAACCTCAGAACAGAGGTGGGAGGGAGAAGGGGTGCCAGGTTGTGAAGGGTCTTGTTCATCATTGTAAAGATTTTAGTTTTTCTTCTGAAGTCTGAGGGCCTTGAATGGTTCCCTCTCTCTTCTTCCCTCTTTCTCTCCAGCAGTCTCTCCTTTTCTTCTTACTCTGAAGTTAATGAAACCAGGATTTTTATCCAGCAGGTGTTCCATGATAGGAATTGTATTGATTGTGTGCCATATCAGCATATAACTTGTTGCTTATACTCAGTTTTTCCAATAAATTGTTGATGGATCCAGAGGCTTGGTTAGATTCACATTCGATACTTGTTTTTGTTTGACAGTTAATTCATAAGTGTTGATGTGTTCTTCCATCAAAAAGACATAATCTCTGCTTGCCTCTTTTTTGTGTGGTATTAGTAGCAATGCCTCTGAAACAGGGGCGGTACACTGCCATTCCTGTCCACATCCTACTGGCCAAGAAAAAGTTCCAAGTTGTAGTCGGGGGCAGTGAAGTACAAGCCAGCATTTGTAGGAGGAACTGCTCAGTTACATGGCAGAAAGCATGTATCAGGGAGAGTGAAAAAAGCTGCAGCTAATAATGTAGCATGCCATGCATGATAAACCTAATGTGTTACCCCATTTGTTCAGTTCCATCAATTCTTCAATGCTCAGCTTTCTTTATGGTCCAACTCTCGCATTCATATATGACTACTGGAAAAACCGTAGCTTTGACTATGGTTTGACTTTTGTCAGCGAAGTAATGTCTCTCCTTTTTAATATGCTATCTAGGTTTGTCATAGCTTTTCTTCCAAAAAGCAAGCATCTTTTAATTTCATGGCTGCAGTCACCATCTGCAGTGATTTTGGAGCCCAAGAAAAGAAAGTCTCACTACATTGTTTCCCCATCTATTTGCCATAAAGTGATGGGACCAGATGCCATGATCTTAGTTGTGTGAATGTTGAGTTTTAAGCCAGCTTTTTCACTCTCCTCTTTCACCTTCATCAAGAGGCTCTTTAGTGCTTTGCTTTCTGCCGTAAGGGTGGTGTTATCTGCATATCTGAGGTTATTGACATTTCTTCCGGCAAACTTGATTCCAGCTTGTGCTTCTTCCAGTCCAGCATTTGTACTTTGCATGATGTACTCTGCATATAAGTTAAATAAGCAGGGTGACAATATACAGCCTTGACATACTCCTTTCCTAATTTAGAACCAGTCTGTTCCATGTCCATTCTAATTGTTGCTTCTTGACCTGCATACAGGATTCTCAGGAGCATGTAAGGTGGTCTGGTATTCCCATCTCTTTAAAGAATTTGCCACAGTTTGTTGTGATCTGCACAAAGGCTTTAGCATAGTCAATGAAGCAGAAGTAGATGTTCTTCTAGAATTCTCTTGCTTTTTCTGTGATCCAATGGATGTTGGCAATTTGATCTCTGGTACCTCTGCCTTTTCTAAATCCAGCTTGAACATCTGGAAGTTCTTGGTTCACATATCATTGAAGCCTGGCTTGTAGAATTTGAGCATTAGTTTACTAGCATGTGAAATGAGTGCAATTGTATGGTAGTTTGGACATTGTTAGGCATTGCCCTTCTTTGGGATTGGAATGAAAATTTGGAATTGGATTGGAATGACCTTTTCCAGTGCTGTGGACACTGCTGCATTTTCCAGATTTGCTCGCATGTTGAGAACAGCACTTTCATAGCATAATTTTTTAGGATTTGAAATAGCTCATCTGGAATTCCATAACCTCCACTAGCTTTGTTCGTAGCAATGCTTCTTAAGGCCCACTTGACTTCGCACTCCCAAAATGTCTGGCTCTAGGTGAGTGATCACACCATCGTGGTTATCTGGGTCACTAAGATGTTTTTTCGTATAGTTCTTTTGTGTATTCTTGCCATCTCTTCTGATATCTTTTGCTTCTGTTAGGCCCATACTGTTTCTGTCCTTTATTGTGCCCATCTTTGCATGAAATGTTCCCTTGGTATCTCTAATTTTCTTAAAGAAATCTCTAGTCTTTCCCATTCTATTGTTTTCCTCTCTTCCTTTGCACTGTTCACTGTTCACTAGGAAGGCTTTCTTATCTTTCCTTGCTATTCTTTGAAACTCTGCATTCAAATGAGTATATCTTTCATTTTTCTCTTTTGCCTTTTACTTCTCCTCTTTCCTCAGCTATTTATAAGGCCTCCTCAGACAACCATTTTGCCTTTATAAACATATTAAGATAAAGATCCAGAGATTCTTTTGGTTTTAAATAATGAGATTGATAATTTTTATAAAGGAGATGTTATTTTACTAATGAAAATTACTTACTTAAACTGTGGAGTAATCAGACCAGCAAACCAACTTTGCAAGTTGTCAGATAATAATACATAATTTATTTCAACATTAACTGAAATTTTTTTTGCAGGTTGATGCTGCAAGATAATCAAAATTTGGAAGCACTGAGAATGCTGGCCCTTTACTATTTGTGTAGGGAGGGGGAAATAGAGAAGGTAAGTTGTATTGTATTATATAACTTTCCTGTATTAAATATATATTTAGTTACACACACATGAACATACTAAAGAGACTTGAAGTGGTTTTAGAATGTATATCATGGCAGTTTTTGTTGAGTCCTAGAAATATACCTTAACAAAGGTGGGTATCTTAAATCACCTAGTAAAGCAAAAGTATCATATAGTTAAAAGTATCATTGAAAGCTTTAAAAATTATTAATTACAGCAGATGCTGTTTCTATGTAAAACTCATGTGTCATATGATATATGATTAATGTTAACTAGTGTTACTGGTTATGGGAGAGAACATAGAAAATATAATTCATAGTACGTTTACAATTTTATTGAGTTTGTATAAGTTAAATGGGTTAGGATGAAATCCCATTGAACCTTATAAGGTACACGCTTCTCTGGTAATGAACACGTTGACTATATATTTTGGTTTATGGGATGCCAAAATCCACTCTGAAGTCAATACTATTATAACAGATAATAAATTTAGACTCTTATTTAGGGTTAAGTGGGTTAATGTGATAGTACCTAGTAAATACTTCAGTAAATACTAGAAGAATCTTAGTAGAGCAAATCTAGAGTAAATTTTCCAGGCATTGGAATTATTTTTCAAGTATCTGATTTTTTGGGTCTTGAAAATATTTTAAATATAAACCAGGCTATGTATGTAATCCGAGGACTGACCTCATATAATATTAATGTTTGTAAAAATAAGTTATCATTCATATCTCATATGTGTCATAAACTATTGGAGAAGGAGCTTGGCATGTATAGTTAACTGGATATTATAGGTATCTTTGAATATTTGGATATCACCCAAAGGTTTCTATTCAGCAACAACTATTAAAGATGCACATTTTATAATGCAATTTTTACTTATAATCATTGCACTTTTTATGGAAGGATCCTTTACCCTCTTGCACCATATGATTTCATTGAAAGAAGGGGAATTGATAAGAGCAAAGATTTTTTTTAACATATAAATACAAATTTACTAATGTATGTGTCATGTATTATGCTATTTTTATTCTTAGTGTATTTTAAAATTAAACTGAATACTTTTGTTTTAGGCTGCCACCCAGCTGGAAAACTTAGGAAATGCATTGGATGCCGTGGAACCACAGAATGCTCAGCTTTTTTATACAATCACAATAGCCTTCAGCAGAATTGTAAGAGTACTGCAAAGCTCTGTTATTTGTAGCTGGAAGTATAAAATTAGTCACAAACGTTTAGGCACCAAAAAGCATATGGCCTGGAGTGAAAATACTAGAAAATTCATAGATGTGCCTATGAGTATGTGATAGATTCTTAAGGGAGGTAGTTCAGAGGAGATACAGCTTCCAGCTATAAAAAGCCATCATGGAGGGTTCATGGAGGAAGTGGCACATGTGAATCCTTTAATAGGGAAGTGCCTTCCAGACAAAGGAAATGGAAAGTGATTTATTTTAACCAGAGCATAGCATTTATGACTAAGGTTCTTTGCTATATGTTTTTAAAACTGATTTTTAAATGTTTTGAAGTAAGTAATAGACTATTTGGGTTGAGGAAATGGTTTCTGTCTTACTTTTTGTAATAGTAAAGAAACGATTTTTATGACAAGCACCCATAAAAAGGTAATTGGAAATGGAATAGATAAATATAGCAGAATCTTAAAACCAATACAAGAAATGAGAGGATTGAAACTATGCTAGAAAAAAATAAGGAAAAGGGCACAGTAAGTAAAATAATTATTAAAATAAAGTTGAAAGAAAATAATTAAGTTTATTAATTGTTAAAGGACATGAATAAACTGAATTCTCTTAATTAAAAACAAAGGTTGTCAGATCAAATGAAATTTAGGGGAACTGCTCCCCATTACAGAAATTTGAGTTAGTGGGGAATATTAACATTTTTTATTTACCTACTGCAGACGCATAATTGTTACTAGTTTACAGCAAATCAAACAATTCAGTAAGTAAGAAGTCTTCAAAGTAATGATGTTCAAAAAGTATATACTTAATTCTGACAACATTGCCATTTCTTGAAATATTTTTGAAGGCTTTTTTTCAAGAGGATTATAAGGCGTGGTTCTCACTAGTGGCACACTTGTCTTTAGGGGTAAATCAGATTCTTATCCTAGTTTTCAATGCAATAAAAGTTCAATAAAATATATACATCTCTCTATATTATACTATATTTATGCACACATGTATGTAAATATATATAAAACCTTAAATAATGATTTTCTTCTCTAACTATAAGACAGTCATGAAACAGTTTAAAAAGCGAGTTATAAAACATGCTTGTGGAGTACCATAGAAGCAATACATTTTTCAGGAGAGCTGTTTTTTAAAAGCACTGCTCATTAGGATGTTTAAGTTCTGATAGGATATAAACTCTTGATGTACTATCTAGATAGTAAATGCAGTAGATTTATTATTCTTCAGTTATGAAATAATTTTTTACCCATATTTTTCATCTATGAAATACAAATTATTCATATGTACATTTAGAAAAAACAAATTCTTCCATCTTAGTAGACTTGTTTTAGTTTAACTTAATTTTTTTTTCTTTTTAGTGTGGACGTAGTCAACTCATTCTTCAGAAAACCCAAACATTGCTAGAAAAAGCTTTTAGTTTAAATCCTCAGCAATCAGAATTTGCTACAGAGCTTGGATACCAAATGATTTTACACGGGAAAGTTAAAGAGGCCTTGAAGTGGTATAAGACCGCCATGACACTAGATGAAACCAGTGTCTCTGCTCTAATTGGTATGACAACTGTATCTATGAGTGTTCCTCAGACAGATGCAAATAATGATTGCTTTTAATACCTGCCTTTAAAGAAGAAAAGACATATTTTGTAGTTTTCTAAAATTAAACAGTTCTCTATTATCTACAACAGAAAAAAATCATGTACCTTTAAAAATAGAATATTTGTTTCTTAAAAACTGTCTGTAGGTAATAGGTTTTTATGAGATAATTCCCATAAATTATGAATTCCTTAGTAACTGATTTTATGTGCATACAAAGCTACCCATTTCTTTTCAATATTTTTCTTTTTTTAATCTAAAACTTTGTATTATGGCCAAAAAGAAAAACCTTGTTTAATATTATTTGTGTTAAGATGTACATGCCTGGAATAATGTGGATTTTTCCCATTTTCATCTGTTTTCTTTTTAGGATTTATCCAGTGTCAATTAATAGAAGGGCAACTACAGGATGCAGATCAGCATCTAGAATTCCTTAGTGAAGTTCAGCAGTCTATTGGAAAATCAGCGGTATAGTATTTTATTTTATCAGGGTAGATTCTAACTACTTATTAAATATGAAATTTTCAATGTTTAAAAATTTAACAATGGGTTTAGAGGACTAATGCATTAACTTTAATATGTAATTACATTTATTAATTTTCCACATGATTTTAAAAATCCATGTAAACTAATATTTAAGTTTGAACAAATAGTGCTTATAAATATCTCTTCATATACATTTGAAATCTAAGTAGAAATAAATGGCTTTATAACTGTATGGAGTAATTTATGAAAACTACTTATTTTGCAGGAATTAGCCTATTTACATGCAGTTCTCGCTATGAAGAAAAATAAACGACAAGAAGAGGTTATTAATTTGTTAAATGATGTCCTGGACACTCATTTTTCGCAATTGGAGGATTTACCTCTTGGCATACAGTATTTTGAGAAGTTAAATCCTGATTTCTTGCTAGAAATTATTACAGAATATCTGAATTTCTGTCCAATGCAGGTGTGTTATTTCTGGGACTTATTTTCAAAGATGCATTTACATAATGTTTTATGAAAGTTACTAATAAATTATGTTCTACAGATTAGACTATAAAATGAAAGTATTTGTATCTATATTAGTTGAAGTAGTTTTTAATGAAAATATTTACAGTAATGATTATTATCAACTAATAAATGTTTTGGTTTATAAATATTGATTTGTAATTCATAAAATCTTAAAATCTTGAGTTTGAACTATTAGAAGTCATTTAATTTAGGCACCCACCTTGTATTAGTATCTACTCTATAATATCCTCATTAACTGTCCATCCCATCTTTGGATGCACTCAAAGATACAGTTCTTATTATGTAACTGTGATTATTAGACTGTATTTCCTATGTTAAGTCAGATTTTGCTTTGTGTTAAAAAACTCACCTATTTACTGGTCCTCCTTTTGCTCTCTGGAGTGACATGGAGCAAGTGCAGTTACATAGAACATTCATAGAACAGACCTGCCGATGTAGGAAATTAATTTTCATGTTTCTGAACAGTCCCAGGTTTCCAACCCTTTCTTTTTTTATGACATAGTTTGAGATCCCTGGTTGTGAGTCTGAGGATATTCTTGATTTTATCAGTGCCTGATTAAGCTCACTATTCCAAATATGGATTTGGCCTGCAAAACTTAGATCAGATTCTTTGCTTCCTAATTCTGGAGGTCCATCAGTTTCTTTTTTGTGAATCACATTACATTATCAACCCCTGTTGATTTAACAGTTAACCAGAGTCCTTAGATCTGTTAATCACTATAACTTTGGACCTAAGTGTAGGACTCTACATTTGTCCCTATGAAATTTTATCTCCTCATACTTATCCCATAATTACAGATTATTGTATCCTTTGGGGTCCTAACTGTCATCTGTTTTATATGGATCTTTGTTGTCAAACATCATCTGCTTGTGTGGCTCCAAGTAGCACTGAGAATGTAACCCTCTGTTATATTACCACAGAGTTCATTCCAAGTTGACATGTATCCATGAGCACTCTTTTATTACAGGCAGTAAGCAGATGACACAACTTTGTTATGCTCAACTCACAATTCAACATAGAGATATCATGGCATGCACTATCAAATACTTCATTCCTGAAAGCATAGTTTTTAGTATTCTCCCTGATTTCTCCCTGAAGTTACAGCTTCAGTAACTGTATTAACAAGGAAATGAAAACAATGACCTTTCCTTAGGGAGCTCACGCTGCCTTTTATTGATCATCATATCCTTTTCCAGACTTTCATGACCAATTTTTTTCAACCAACCACTCTGGAATTGCACTTGGGATTGATCTCAGTTTCTCCAGTCATGATCTGCTTTCAGTTGCTCATGAGTTGGAAAGCATTTTTCAGTACTCATGCAGTATTTAGAATTCATCCAACAAATGCTTGTAGGGTTCCCAGTGGACTCTTCAGAGTTGGGGAAATAGTTGTGTAAAAGCAAACAATATTCCTTGCCTTCTTAATACATGAATACTAGCAGGAGGAGACATAATACAATCAATCAGTCTTGTAGTATATTAGGAGATTAGAGGAGAAAATAACAAAACAGAGTGAAAGGGGGCAATAATTTTAGATAAGGTGGTCTAGGTAGGCCTCATTATGATGGTAAAATTTGAACAAAAACTTCAAGGTCATGTGGGAATATACCATAGAGTGTTTCAGGCAAAAGGAGCCATTGTGCAGTGGCCCAAAGGGACAAAGGAGAGGAGAGTGGCTGGGGCCGAGTGAGGAGGCAGGGAGTGGTCACCGTAAGGCATCATTGGAAACTGGCGGTAATTTCTCTGACTTCAGTTCTGGGAACAGTGGGGAGCCACCAGAGGGTTTCCCACATGATCCAGTTCAGCGTTTTAAAAGGCTTCTTCTGGCAGCTGGCCTGAGAGTAAACTGTAAAAGGAGCAAGAAATAATGTGTTAAGTTGTAGTTGGGTCCCTAGTGCACAGACATTCTGTTTTTCCATAATGTAAGCTTCATCAGCATGATGGAATCTAATTAGCACTTAAAATGCTGTTTTCCTGGGGAAGTATCAGAAAGGCAGACTTGTCTCTCCAGCCCTCTTTCTACTGCTTTGGCCCTTTTACAAATACACACTTTTTTTAAAAAAATCAAGCAGATATTATCTTAGAGATTGTCTTTATAAGCCCTGGATTTTTTTACTATGATTCGTTCTGAAATTAGAGGAAAAATGATGGTTGTTTTCAATGAGTAAGTTTTAGCAAGGGGCAGACGACATCAGAACCTTGCCCTGTTACCTGTGCTTTCATTATTTTCAATTGCACTGAAAAAGTAAATATATTTTAAGAATATACACTATATCCATTACAGTGTAAAGTTTTAAAAGTCTCATCTTTAAGACATATAAGGACCCTTAGCCCTATAAAAGAGGCAAAACTAAATATGAAACTACTGTAGGACTAATAAGACAAAGAATGCTAAAAAAAAATTTATTACCTAGGTAAGTGCTTTAGAAATTTCAAGAAGTTGAAGTATTCTAGGTACCAGTAGTTGTGCTCTGAAAATTCTTTTGAGCACACATTTTTTGGTGCCTCAACATCGAAGATACCACACTTTTCTTGTTAGTGGCTCCTTATAGGGTCAGTTGTCAGTAAGAGTCTGTGCTTCAGTTAAGAATCTGCATGCAGAGTGTAAGGTTACGGGGATGGGAGGATGGTCCTTCAGATAAAGGAAGGAGCACTAGTAAGGTAAAGTGGGAGAGTAAACATTGGATATTTAAAAATCTAATATCACATTTCTAAGTTGTGAGCGGATAACTGCTGGATAAAGATTGAGCCATTAAAAGAATAAACAAGTCGTCTAGTACTACTTTAGTTATTAAATTCATTATTAATTAAAAGAGAGAAAAATTGAGGGCCTACAACATGTCAGACAGAAAAGTGGGGAATATGAGACATGTGGTGTAGTGTACATGCATGTGTTCTGCCATTGGATTTTTACTAGGATGACAAAATCTGAATTCTCTAAAAACTGACTTTGCAGTATTCTCGAGGGTGGTGCAGGTTATTGAATTGAGTAAAATCCCAAGACAGGTTTAGAATTAGAGCTCACATTCCCTTGACTCTCAGTTCCAGCAAGAAACTCTGCCTCTCATTATTCCTTTGAACAGGTGTGTTTCCTTGATAAAGCTTTCGAACATAAATGCTCCTTTCATATGTTATCAAATTAGTAACTGTATGGTAACTTCACAATTATTTTGCTGAGAAAAAGCCATCATTTATATAGTCTGTTCATAGATCCCAGGGAGGTAAACTAGTATTAATCTAGTCATAGTGAGATATTGGGCAAGCATGTGGGTTTTGCTCTTCACATTACAATTAATAATGTGTTTATTTTTAGCCTAATACTGTTAAAAACTTGTAAAAATGACTTGTTGATTTGTTTTGTTTAGCCTGCAAGTCCTGGGCAACCTCTTTCTCCACTTCTCAGACGTTGTACCTCAATCCTGGAGACCATAGTCAGAACTGTTCCTGGTCTTCTGCAGGCTGTCTTCCTAATAGCAAAAGTAAAGTATTTGTCAGGTAACGTGTACATTAAAAGCTTAAAATAACCTTTATATTCTGATGTTGATAAGAACAAGTATGAACAAACTAAGCACCCGTCATATATGAAGAATAGTCACACAAAATACACATTTTACATATGCACAGTATATTAATTAAATTTTAATTAAGTTTAATTAAAATTTAATTAATTTATACAATTAATTTTTATACAGAATAAAATTGTACAACTCTTAACTCTTTAGTTCTTTAAAAAAGATTGCCATAAACTTTTGTGATTCAAATGAACTTTTGGAAAAATATAGTTCTACCACTTTAAAAAAAAGTCCATCAGATAGTACTAAAGCCAGGCAGTAAAAATTTATAGTCTTTAATCTCGCCTTTGAACAGATCATAATCCATCATTATTGATTCATTGGCATAATCAAATCTGATGTTTATCAGGTTTCAGATACTTAGGAAATAAATTAATTCCTATCTAGTTTCTGTGATTGGTGATAGCTTTAAAAAAAATAACCTCAAAAAAAAATTACCTCAGTTGTAACCTTAGCGTTTTTAGGACACACACATGTTTGGCAATATATGTGTAAGTAGACCATCATATGGGCCTTATGTGTGTATATATATATCTTTGCTGGCTACATGCTATGCAGAGTAAATTAAGTTTGTAAAGTCCTGTAGGGCAGAAACCACCTTAAATGCATTCATTCAGTTACCTCCTATACATAATAGAAAGAGTTAAGAGATTGACTTTACTAATTTTTGGGGTCTTGGTTTTAACTATTTTTAAAAAAGAACCAAATTATCAGAAGAGTTAATTTCACCTCTAAAATACTCTAGTTGTAAGAAGTGATTCTCTGATACCTTCTCCTAAGAGAGTTCTGTTGAGCCACATGGTATTTCTACTTTCTTTTCAGTTAGAATGGATGTCACCTACTAGATAATTCAAATGGGACTTTTGAGTTCTGTGATTAATTTATTCAACACTTATTTATTTTGAATCTTTATATAAATCAGTCTCAGTATATTAATAGTAATACTTCATTGCCGAAGTGTCTAGGAATGAAGTACTTCCCTTGTGGCTCAGCTGGTAAAGAATCTGCCTGCAATACAGGAGACCTGGGTTCGATCCCTGAGTTGGGAAGATCCCCTGGAGAAGGGAAAGGCTACCCACTCTAGTATTCTGGCCTGGAGAATCCTATGGACTATATAGTCCATGGGTTGCAAAATGTGGGACACGACTGAGCGACTTTCACTTTCACTAGGAATGAAGGGCTTCCCTGGTGGCTCAGGTGGTGAAGAATCTGTCAGCAATGCAGAAGACCCAGGTTCAATCCCTGTTTTAGGAAGATCCCCTGGAATAGGAAATGGCAACCCATTCCAGTATTCTTGCCTGGAGAATCTCATAGACAGAGGAGCCTGGTGGGCTGCAGTCCATGGGGTGGCAAAGAGTTGGACATGACTGAGCAACTAACTCTTGCTAGGAATGAGTCTTGTACATTAACCCCATTGTTAAAAAGAGCAGCCTGAAATAATGTGATACCATGCTGGCACCTGTCTAAACAGCAGTATTCTTGCTGAGCTGCCAATTGCAGTGACTTCTGGTACAAAGTACCTGGACTTGGGCCAAACTTACAGGTTAAGGGCACAGTCTCCATCAGACTGCCCTAGCTGTAGACGGCAGCCACAAGCTCAGAGGTTCCCAGAGCCATTTGCATGTCTGATTTGCTGGGTACAAATTTACGGGTTCTGACGACTCCCATCAGGTTCAGTAGTTTACTCGGAAGAGTCACAGAAGTTAGGAAGGCCCTATAGCTAGGATTAGAGTTTTATAGCAAAAAATATCCATCTGAACCAGCAAAAGGAAGAGATGTAGAGGTTGAGGTCTGGGAGGGTCCCACGTGTGAAGGAGTCAGGACATATCAACTTTCTGACACACCAACATCTGACAACACCTCTAGAACATTAGCAGCAGGGAAGCTCACCCAGGGTTCAGTACCCAAGAGTTTTATTACATAGACATGATAATGAAACTCAGTCTCCAGCTCCCCTCTCCCCGGGTCAGGCTGGTATGGATGACTCAGAGTCCATACCCCACTAATCACATGGTTGGGATCTCTGACCTGGCCAGCCCTTAGTCACATTATCATAAGTTATCAGGGCCTACCAGGAATAACAAAGATACTTTTATTGCTTGGGATATTCCAAGATTTAGAGATGGTCTCCCAGGAACCAAGGCCAGCCAAATTCTTTATTACAGAAGATCCTGACAAAGGCAGAACTGCAGGACAGAAATTTCTTTCATTTTTTCCTCAAGAGAATTTGAGCCGCTCTCAGATAAGAATGTGATATTGATGTGATACTTGTTTGTATGGCCTTTTTCCCCAACAACAATGACCTGTTTGTCCCATTTTTAAGTAGTTAGTGGCCTTCTAAAGTTAACTGGCCATATTCCTTCTCTTTACCTTTATAGAAGAAGCAAAAAAGGTCTCAGTTATTCACATAGTTCTCTCTTTTTTTTTTTCCCAGCTCTTTTGCAAACCCTTCTTTGGGGAAATAATCTTTCTCTTTTTAAAAATATATTTATTATTTGGCTGCATCAGGTCTTAGTTACAGTATGCACGATCTTCACTGAATCACGTGGAATCTTTCACTGTGGCGCATGGGCTTAGTTGCTCTGTGTTATGCAGGATCGTAGTTCCCTGACCAAGAATCAAACCCATGTCCCCCACCTTGCAAGGCAGATTCTTAACCACTGGATCACCAGGGGAGTCCCAGTAATAATCATTTTTTTTTCAGGTTATCTCCGTGATCCTTCTCTTTCCTAAAAGAATGTGGGGGTGGTAGTTTGCTTGCAAATTTATTATGCTTAACCATCCTTTCTTTTTTTGCCTGTAGAGTTCTGAGTGTTGGATTGCATCAGAATGAAAACTCTAATATTTATTATGCTTGATGGTTAATTGACAGATTTTGACACTTCTTTTAATAAGTTATTGTACTAACTCAGCCAAATTTTTGTTCATCAATCCTCTGTTTTTGAGAAGAATGTTTTCTGTTTAAATGGATTTCTGTTATAAGAAGGTTGAGTCTTTGGGACCGAAGGCCTGACTATAAGCCTTATTTTGTCTGTTGAGGTGTCAGGTAAGGTCACAGAGAGTTATTGAACAGATAATAATTTAGCAGAGTTACACAGGGCTCTGGTCTAGCTGTACCTGCTTAAGGCCAGTTTATGAGATGGCTAAAGGTGTATCAATGTGGGTTATATCACAAAACTTCTAGCACCTAGAGTCTGTGCTGGTATTTCTCTGAAGAGCCTCTTCCTCCCTTTGCTGTCAGCCCAAGGTGGAATCCAGTATTCCATCACTTTCATTTTGATCATTTCCTTCTGTTTTAAGACTCCCAGATGTAGTTAATGTCCTATAATGGAATATAATCTGCAAAAATACTGAGTCACTACTTATACCTGAAATTAACACAATACTGTAAATCAGCTGCAATTAAAAAAAAAAAGACGACTTCTAGATATACAATAGATGTGTTTCCAGAACATTTGAATGTTTCAGTTAGCATTAAGAGGCATTTAAAATCTGTAACTCTCATTTCTAAACTTCTGGACTATATTCCTATGTTTTTTTTGTCTTTTGTGCAGTAGTAAAATTTCTGGCCAAGAATGATTGCTAGACTAAATCTTTCTTGTTAATGTGGCACTGTAACATTCCAGTTATTTAAATTTCTATGTTTTACATATTTTAAAGACGTTAAAAATTTTAAAAAATTAGACAAGGAAAGTAAAAGTACATTTATAGGACTGTCAGTAACAGTGGTGATGGATTCGGATCTTTTCACATACTCTGATTTGCTCCTTATCACCAAGGGGATGGCCTGGCTTTGGATATATTCTTTCATGCACACTAGAAAGAAGGGGATGGTGGCGCTAGTGTTAAAGAACCTGCCTGCCAGTGTAGGAGACATAAGAGACGGGTGTTCCATCCCTTGGTCGGAAAGATCCTCTGGAGAAGGGCATGGCAACCCAATCAAGTATTCTTGCCTGGAGAATCCCATGGACAGAGGAGCCTGGTGGGCTACAGCCCACAAGGTCGCAAAGAGTCGGACACAAGTGAAGTGATTTAATAGTAGTGCAGGTAGTTTAAGCTGAGGACTTCAAGGTCAAACACCAGAACTATCCATAGACTACTTTTCTCCTTCTTCTCTCAGACTTCCTCTTAATCATTTTTTTCTTTTACTGTAGTAGTGATTTGTTTCCTCACCAGGTGATATCGAAGCAGCTTTTAACAACCTGCAGCATTGCCTAGGACACAGCCCTTCCTATGCCGATGCTCATCTCCTGATGGCTCAGGTTTATCTGTCTCAGGAAAAATTCAAATTGTGTTCTCAGTCTCTTGAACTATGCCTGAGCTATAATTTTAAGGTAAGTGTTCCAGACTCAAGTGGATAAGTCATATCGCTGTCCTTAAACCTTTAATGTTTACATGTTCAACTATTTTGTATTTTGGCCTGTAACATTTTGCCAGTAAGTGCATTTTTTTAGTGGAAAATGTTTTGAACTCGTTAGCAGTAGGAGAAAAAAATGGAGGCAACTGGTTTAGTTTAACAAAACCATATGGACTTGGCAACAAAAGACCTGGAATTAGTGTCTCATCTTTTCACCTCTCGCTCTCTGCACCTCAGTTTTCTTTTCTATAAAACTTATATAAATAATACTCTACAATTTTAATGAACATTAAATGTACTGTGAATATATATAAAGATAGTTGTCAACTACAGATCGTTGTTGTTGTTCATTTAGTCCTGTCCTACTCTTTGCCACCCCATGAACTGCAGCATCCCAGTCTTCCCTGTCCCTCACCATCTCCCAGAGCTTGCTCAAACTCATGTCCATTGAGCTGATGATGCCATCCAACCATCTCATCCTCTGTCGTCCCCTTTTCCTCCTGCCTTCAATCTTGCCCAGCATCAGGGTCTTTTCAAATGAGTTGGTTGTTCTTATCAGATGGCCAAAGTATTGGAGCTTCAGCATCAGTCCTTCCAATATTCAGGGTTGATCTCCTTTAGGAGTGACTTGTTTGATCTCCTTGCAGTCCAAGGGGCTCTTTAGAGTCTTCTCCAACACCACAGTTCGAAAGCATCAATTCTTTGGCACTCGGCCTTCTTTATGGTCCAACTCTCACATCCATACATGACTTCTGGAAAAACCATAGCTTTGACTATATGGACCTTTGTCAGCAAAGTGATGTCTCTGCTTTTTAACATAGAGCATTGTGCCAAACATTTTTATGTTTTAGGATTTTTATTTTATTGTTTGTCTCTTTCTTGGACCTTGATTTTTAATAACTTTGGATACATCATCACAGAATGCCTAGTCATTTTGAAAGCTGGTATGTGGTTTGAGGACATAAAGACACTAGGTTTCCATCCAAGACGTTCAGTGTAAACATCCCATATCCCTGAGCATTACAGAAAATCCTAGGTTCAGGGGCTTCCTGAAGTCACTGTAGGAGCTCCTCAGACTTTCTCTTTTGTCTGGCGGTGTCTTTGACTCTTTAATGTGAGAACCCTAATTTAGTTAACTGGAGAATTCAAGTTGTAGGCAAGGTTTGCAGAAAGTAACACCTGGTTCTTAGGATGGTAGTTCTTAAGACTAGTGGTACATCATGACCCCAGTGCCAGCACCCGACCCAGTGAATCAAGATCTCTGAGATGAGAGCATAAGCATGATTGTTTACACAAGAACAACAGGTAAACCTGATGCCTAGCTCTGGCTCAGAACCCAGCCCTAGGAGGACTAAAGCCATCCTAGAGGTTAGATAGCTGCCACATCATCTCATTCTGGACCATCTTCTTTTCTTGACTCCTTCCACACCATCTGTCATTCTCTTATTTTTTCTGTATAGGCTATTGGTAGCCAAACTAAAGACAGAAGCTTCAGTAGTACACATTTCAGAGTAGTATCAAAGGGTAAAAACCCATGTTTGATTAACATGCCCTGAAATGTTTAATCTTAAAATTAGAAAAGAAAAAGAAACTGTAGAAATCTGATAACTTACATTTCAGTACAAGAAGTCTCAGATAAAGAAATTTCATTTTCTGAAAACTAAAATAATTTCTTCAACTATACTTGCTGGCCTTCTAAACTCTATGTGCAGTTTCTCTCCTATCATGGTAGCAGCACCTGTTTATGAACCAGGGGAATACTAGGTAGTGGCTGGTTACCTGAATTCTGATTTTTCAGTAAATGATCAGAACATGAGTAAGAGGACAGAAAAGGACCTCATGCATTCACAGGGTAGACTGTCCTCAGCGTTCCTATTATCGTAGCATTTTATGGATTGTAAACTATGTGTTGATGTTATAAGCACTCCAAGGATGGATTTCTGAATATTACTTTTTCAGGTGAGAGAATATCCTTTATATCACCTGATAAAAGCTCAGTCACAAAAGAAAATGGGAGAAATAGGAGAAGCAATTAAAACTCTGCACATGGCAATGAGTTTACCAGGAATGAGGAGAATTGGATCTTCCTCAAAGTCAAAATACAGAAAAACTGAAATTGATGCAAGCCATCGTTTATCAGTCTTTCTTGAGTTGGTAGAGGTTCACCGTTTAAATGGAGAACAGGTAGGTCAAACTTAATTGCTCAGATGTGAACTTTGTTATCCAAGTATATATAGTCATAGGAAATGAAAATGCAAAAATTATTTCCTTGAACAAATGATTAAGTTTAGAAAATTTGTTTCTCATCACTTGGCACCAGATGGAAGCAAACATGAATGCAATTCTGAGAAAAGAATTAGAATCTTGTAGAAAATGAGGAACTTATCATTTATATCTGTTTTTTAAGTTACAGCAGTTGCTAATCAGTTACTTCATATTTCATATTTTAGTGGAAATTAAGGCTATGTCTAGGTACTTGCCAAATCTCAAAGAATTTCTACTTCACTAACAAATTAACATAAAATGCATTTAATAAGGAGAACCAATTCTATTATAGATTGATTCTACAATGCACAATTTTTTTCTTGGTTTAACATTTCTTAAATTAAAATTTTTTTAGAATCTCCTAAGTTGAGATGAATTAAGATAAATGATATTTTAGGTTCATTGAGGTACAGGTTTGGAAATTAGGAAATATATTCACCTGGGATATAATAAAAATGATGTCCTAGTGTAGGGAATAACCTTCTATGTAATGAAGAACCATCTGATCCAGAGGGTGACTATGGACTGGATCCCACTGAAGATGCAGTAATGAACATGACAAAGAATTTAGGCTTTGGAGTCAGGCTGGTTCCATCATTTGTTAACTCCTTAACGGTCTGAGTCTTATCTTCCTTATTGCAAGGTGGGAGGTAATTATAGTAACTACCTTGGAGGATTATCATAAGAAGTAATGGGTTAATACAATGCTGGATGCAAGGTAAATGTTTATTAAATTATAGTCACAGCAACTCTTTATGTACCAACTGCTATTGTCATAGTTATGAGAACACTTTTCAGCTAACAAATACGTCATCTTAATTTGGTCTCTGAGTTTAGTTTTAAATTTTTGTGCTTTTCAAAAATCGATCAATATATCACAAATATCAAAACTGTGCTATTTATTGTTCATTCTGTATTAGAAGACCTTCATTTGTAGTGTGATTTGTTATAGTTTTGAATGTTATCTGGATGTCACCCTTATAGCACGAGGCAGCCAAAGTTTTGCAAGATGCTATCCATGAATTTTCTGGGACGTCTGAAGAGTTGCGTGTCACTATCGCTAACGCAGACCTAGCTCTGGCCCAGGGAGATGTGGAGAGGGCTTTAAGCATGCTTCGGAATGTTACAGCCGAGCAGCCGTATTTCATAGAGGCCAAGGAAAAAATGGCAGATATATATCTGAAGCACAGAAAAGAGAAAATGCTATATATCACTTGTTACAGGTAAATAGTTCTTTCGGCCCATTTTATTTTGACACATTTATCTCCTAAAATTAATCCCCAAATTTCTTTCTTCCTTTTAACTGCTTTTCGTATACTTTATAGATCCCTTCCTTAATGTGTTCTTGCTTCCTTCTCCTGCCACCAGCCACAATCACTCTAACCAGGTTACACACTCTCCCTAAAACCTGAATCATAGTAATTAGGATTTATTTCAACCTGTGACTCCCTGCAGTTTCTCAGCTCAGTCTTCCTCCTCAGGTGTTATTTTTGGACCTTGAATCTTCCTGGGTGGGAAGGAAAAGAGCAACAATTACTGTATTCTAATAGCTTGAAAGCATTATGTAATGTAACAATTCAGGGACTGAATAGTCATGTTTAACACTGTCTCATAGCAGAAGAAAACTGGGGCTTAGTATACATCACACTAAGGTATGGGTTACAGACATGGCAGGGGTTTAAAGTGTCATACGCTGATGCCGTTAGGATTGGTGGGATACACAGCACACAGGCTGCCCTTAACACTTCTCCTCAAATGAAAAGAAAGATACAAGCACACAATCCATGTGAAAGAAAATTAATGTTTTAATCCTTAAGAATGTTGATGAATTAAGTCATGTTGATTCATCTATATTTTGAAAATATCAAAGCCCAGAAATCTGTTCAGATTCTTTGTAGTTACTGAGTTTTGCAAAGAAACTGAGAAGCACTCATTTATAGTTGTATAGTTGCATGGGCTGGAGTTTCCTAAATTATGTTTTCTATGATATTTCTAAAAGATCAGCACTATCATCTCTAATGATATGACGGTATTTTAAAATTGGGTACATGTATTTGGATGCACTATAGTATAGTAGTTAAAAGCATAGTTTTTTATTTTACTTTTTTAAGCAGATCTGACACATTAGCTATATAGTAAACTCCTAGCATTATCTATAAAGTCTTAATTCTCTTTTCTCATTAGTTTTTGGACCAATTAAATGAGATATACACTAAAGACTTAGCATCACATTATTTGAGCTGGTATTTTGACCTTTAGCAGTGTACAGTTTGTAGATAAAAAGCAGCAAATATTGAAGTAGAAAATTTTGTATTTTTATTGCTGTATATGACTTACATGAATATCAGCACTCAAAACACATAGGATGACAATAAGTATTTGTCATATTTTGGAACTTCATTCCCACATCGTTTTAGAATTAAGGAGAGCAAAACATATTTCTGGGTAACGAGAGCTTACATATTTCTATCTTGTCAGTATACTTCTACCTGCTTTTCAGGAAATGGAAAAATTTAATGAAAAAAATTGTTGACCTAGCATAAACAATCTGGGTGTGAGTATTGGTAGGGTTTTAATAGTATGTATTATACTGTGGGATATAAAAAGAGTACTCAAAGGCTATTCGTTTATTGAAATAAGTGAGCTTTTTTTTTATACTTTTTATTTATTTTTTTCATTTATTTATATTAGTTGGAGGCTAATTACTTTACATGAGCTTTTCTTCTATTGGCTTAGAAGAAGAAATTTGTTTTCAGTATACTAAGTAGACTTCATCTGATTTCCAGAGAAATGGCTGAAAGGATGCCCAGTTCTCGGTCTTTTCTTCTCCTTGGTGATGCATATATGAATATTCAGGAGGTAAAGTTTTTGATACTACTGTACACAGATTTAAAAATAAAACAAAAAACCAAAAATTCTTCTTTGTGATTAGTGTACATTCTACTGAAAGGAATTTGGGTTTTTTCCCTCCATTTTTAATGAGATATAATTGACATGCAGCACTGTGAGTTTAAGATACAACATAATGATTTGACTTACATACATAATGCAGTGATTATCACAATAAGTTCAGTGACTATCCATCATCCTATATAGGTACAAAATTTTAAAAATAGAAAAAAATATTTGTCCTGTGATGAGACCTCTCAGAATCTACTCTTTCAACAGTTTTCACATATAATATACCTCACTGTTAATTATTATGTTGTACATTACAACTGTAATACTTTTAACTGGAAGCTTGTACCTTTTAACCACCTTTGTCCAGTTCCCCTCCTCTCATTTTACTAATTTTACAAATGTTTACTGAATAGTTGAAGATTGGGTCATCACAATAAAAAGGAGACAACCATGACAGTTAAAAAGTTGTAGTTATTTTTTTCAAATGAAGATCCAGTTATTCAGCACTGTCATTTGCAATAGAGATGATACCAGAAGTAAAGTGAGAGTCACCTTTAAAAGGGTGAGAAGAGCTACTGGCTAAGATGGAGTTTTCTTCAAAGGGAAGCGATCCTCTGACTCTCTGATTCTGTCTTTTCTAATGACTGCCAGATGAAAAGTCAAGAAGCTATCTCTCAGTTCTCATATGACTATTTATGAGGACCTAGGCCTACCTAATATGGTTGGGATTGTCCTAGTAACACCTGCACTAGTGACTGTCATTTCCCTGAAATTGTTAATGTTTCTGGAATTAATATGTGCTTTATTAGTCTTGTTAAGTTTTCCAGATGTAGAGCTTAGTTACAGAAGTGTTGCCATTTAATGGGAGCCAACTAAGCTGTTATTTTATTGCTTATGTTTTGTATCTGCCAACATTAGCCTGAGGAAGCCATAGTAGCATATGAGCAAGCACTAAATCACAACCCAAAGGATGGAACATTGGCAAGCAAAATTGGGAAAGCCCTTGTGAAAACTCACAACTACTCAAAGGTAAATACTTCACATTTTTAGATATATCTGTTGGATCAAATTTACGAACCCCCTGCTCGATGAGAGATCTTCAGCAAGCACTATTTGTATCTTATTGGTTGAAACCCCAAATTTGTTGTTACAAATCTGGAATTTGTGTTAAGGACTTTCTCAGTGTCTCAGATTCTTCTCTGCTTCATTTTGCATTGCTACCTTAAGGTTTATGTCAGGTTTCATCTTACACCCAAATTTTGCCATCAAGTAAATTAAGATGTTTACTGTTAACATCTCTTTCATTATATGACAAAGCATAATAGATATCCTTTCTCTTGAACCAGTTTTGAGCCATGTGCTTTGAGGATTTTTCTTTTTGCTTTCTAGTTAGTATAATGGATTTTCCTCTAGTTATGTTCTTGCCCTACTCCTTGTAACTGTTGAGTGTATATATAACACCTAGCAAAGAATTTTCAGTCAGTAAATTTCACTAACTTTTGGAATAAAAATTTTGAGTACTTTTCTTTTGTTTTTTGTTAGAAGAAATACTAGTTGCCTTCTGTGATGTTTGATTCTGTAAGAAAAATGGCATACTTAACCAATAATGCAAGTCCGTGTATAAGCTGCTTTTCAGTTACTTCCAATTGCTTTAAGTCATAATGTGTGTAGGATCTATGCTTGAATGCCACTCTCACTGCCTTTTCTTTTCCTAACTGAAATGGATTCTGTCTAGGCAATCACTTATTATGAGGCTGCTCTGAAAAGTGGACAACAAAATTATCTCTGCTATGACCTGGCTGAGCTCTTATTAAAATTGAAGTGGTATGATAAAGCAGAAAAAGTTCTTCAGCATGCTCTAGCTCATGAACCTGGTATGAAAATCTAATTTTAAAAAGTATACCTGATATATCTGATCCTTTTAATTTTGATATTATATTAGTATGTATTACATCCTTAGTATATGTGAGGTTGGTTTCATTAATCAGAATGTCAATCTACTAAAATAAGATATTTAAAAATATAAACAGATTTATGAAAGTTAATTGTGTTATAGAAAAACACTTTACTTTCCAAAGTGACATAAAGGAAGCTTTTTTAACTTAATTTTTATTCCTGTTAGAGGACAGTCGATTTACAATGTTGTATTAACTTTAGGTGTACAGTAAAGTGATTCAGTTATACATATATATAATATATATACACGTACAATATAGTCATTCTTTTTCAGATTCTTTTCCTATATAGATTATTACAGATTACTGAGGAGAGTTCTCTGTGCTATATAGTAGGTCCTTGTTGATTATGGTGATGTGTATTTGTTAATCCCAAACTCTTACTTTATCCCTCCCTCCAACTTTCCCCTTTGGTAACCATAAATTTGTTTTTGAAGTCTGTAAACCTGTTTTATAAATAAATTCATTTGTATCTTTTTTTAGTTTCCACATATAAGTGATAATCATATGACATTTGTCTTTCTCTGACTTACTTCATTTAATGTGATAATCTCCAGGTCCGTCCATGTTGCTGCAGATAACACTATTTCATTATTTGTAATGGCTAAGTAATAGTCCAGTGTATATTTGAAGTTGATGCTTAAGCCTACTAAGTTGAATGCATTTTTTAATTCCATAGAAATACTTGCATGAGTTTTGTCAGACCTTGCTTGAAACACTACAGATGGCCTAAAATATGGATGTGCATTTTTAAAAAGGTTTTAGAGATTAAAGGAGTATGTTTTACTTCCATGGGCCTAAGCCTATTACATTTATTCAGTATAAATACTTTCATTTAATAGTTATTTGCTTAGGACAGCCAGTGGGTACTTAGATGCCTTAGTGCTTACATTAGTTTTTGAGGCAGATATAATTATCTCCATTTTTAAATTAACAATTTGATACTCAGTTTTCTTAATGTTTATAGGTTCACCTAGCTGATAAAGAGTAGCACCAGGGTTCTAATAAACATCTTAAATTTAACATGTCTGAAACTGAATTCCTTATCTGCCTCTAGGCAGATATAGGATATGTGCCTATATCCCACATCTGTTCCGTGTGCGGCCTTCATCTCCGTAACTTCATGTTTTCTTTGCAGTTTCAGAGAGCCAAAGTCCTTGCCTTCACCCTTCTCCTTGGCCATTGGAAACCCTCTTGGTTCTTCCAGATGTATTCAGAATTCTCTTGTCCCCTCATTTCTACCACTGTCACCCTTTGCTTATGTAGATTACAGCACTAGCCTCCACCTGGCCTCCCTGTTTCCCCGCCAACCCCACACCCCGACACAGTCACTCCCAAGCCAGCAGCAGCATTGGACCTTTCAAACCGTGGAAGCCCGGACCCGCCTGCTCAAGCTCCCCTTTGTCTCCCATTTCACTCAGGGTTAACTGGAATCTTCCAGGGGCTTACCCGGCCTGCACAGGGGCAGGCTGCCGCCCCGCGGACCTCTCCCTCCAGCCTGCTCTCACCATCGCCACAGCCTCCTTGTGGCTCCTTGTACGCCTTTTCTTACCTGTAAAATAGCAATAACAAAACATGCCTCTCAGGTGGGCAGTTTAAAGAAACAGTGTACGTAAACCGCTTCAAACATAGTATGACACACCTGATACATGGTGGGAGAAACAACTGGTGTTAATTATCCAGAGTTCCTTTAATACGCTTAGGTTTATAAAATATTGAAAGAGCACTTGCCATGTACAAGACTTTGTTTTAATTGCTTTGCATCTATTAACTTATTTAATAATTTATGAACCTGAAGCTTTACAATAATTCTTTGAGATAGGCACTATTATTTCCCATACTTTACAGATGAAAGGGAAGGACAGAAAGGATAGATACCCTGTTCAATTTGTATCTTGTTAACTAGCAAGTGATAAAGCCTCGATTTGAAACCAGACAGGTTGACATCAAAGTCAGTGTTTATTATGTATATGTGTGTGTGTGTGCGTGTGTGTGTGTATATGTACACACACATATATATATATATACACTTTGTTAAGTTCTACTATTAAAAAAATAGCAGTTCTCTTAATTGCATGTACCAAATACCCTATCTTGTCTCTGAATAACTTCGATAAATGGAAATGCTTACACACTTAATGAAAACCGGAATTCTTACTGTGTTGTATTGTGTTCTTATATGTCTAAGAAGAGCCTCCAGTTGTCATACAGTTCTTTACCCTTTCTTCAGGCCACTTTTTAATCATAAATCCTTCCCCCCGCCAAATTTGGCCATTCTTCATTTAACTTACTGAACATTATTAAACTTAATTCACTATTTTTCAGAATCAAGTTTAAGAACTTGTAGGAAAATGTAAACATTTTAAATGAATCATAATTTTTCCCAGTATATTTTCTTTCATAGGAAATGAACTGTCGGCCCTCATGGAGGATGGACGTTCTCAAGTTCTTCTAGCAAAAGTTTACAGTAAAATGGACAGACCTGATGATGCAGTCACTTCATTGCAACAGGTAATGAAAATACCTTCATTTGTGAAAGAATGAGGGTGGGTGGTGGTCTCAGAAGGAAACATACCACATACAAAAAAAAAAAGGCAGTCTTTTGACCCAGCTGTTCTGGAAGATAAGTCAAATAGAAATAACATTTGAATGCCAGTGGATTGTACTGTTTAAAAATATCATTGCTGATTATTATAACAATTAGGGAAGGTTGATATTTTTAATCCTGTTTTACAACCGAAGAAGCTTAGTTTAATAACTTGCAAGAACTCACTCAAGTAGTGTCATAGGTGGGAGTTAAACTCACTTTTCTTTCTGTTTATTTCTTTCATTTATTTATATCTTCTTTAATTTCCCTTAATACTTTGTGGTTTTTCAATGTAGAGGTTTTTCACGTTTCCTTAGATGTGTTCCTAAATATAAGTGGCTGATATGTTTTGATGATTTCTTAATTTCTAGTTTTCTAACAGTATTTTTAGTACATAACTTAAATTTTATCTAATGCACTGTCTGCATCTGTCAAGATGGTCATGTGACTTTTTTTCCAATTTTTTTTCTGTTAATGTGGTATATTGATTGATTTTCAAATCATCCTTATATTCCTGAAATAAATGACACTTTGTGATTTTTTTAAAAAGATATTGCTGGAATTTTAAAGATATTCGCCAATATTTTGTTCAATGTTTGTGCACATACATTCAAGAGAAAGACTGGTCTCTAAGACATGCTATTTCTTAATGTTTGGAACAATAATTCAGTATTAGCATCTTTGAGACTTTGAGGCTTCTTTGATGGTAGATTTTTATTAATGGATTTAAAATCTCTAGATTTCAGACTCATCATTTTAAAATATTTCCTTCTAAGTGATGTCCTTAATACCTTCCCAAGAATGGAACAGCTAAGTTCAATAGCCTCAGTGATTTTAGAGAGTTAGCATGTTTTATGAGGGTGCTCCCCTCAGAAAGACTAGACTGATCTATATGCCATTGACAGTAGGTGGATGTACTTACTCCCTGAAACCAGTCAATATTTGATTCAATAACTTTTAGGTACTATTTTATTAATGTAATAAACATTTACAATTTTTAATGATAGTATCTAGACATCTTTTCTAAATATTTGTTCCATGGTTGCATTTCCTCCTCAGAGAGTGCATATAAAAGACTCTCTACTTTTATAGTATTTTAAGTTTCAAAGATAAGTGCATGGCTCATTTGCAAACAAGTACCTTTTGAAGACCTCAATTAAGACATTATCTTTGGATCAGGCTTTGTTAGATTGAAGACCAAGAACGCTTAAATAAACCTGTAAAATTATGCTACATGTGAATTATTGAGAATTGTTTCATTTCTTTTCTACTTCTTTTTTTTAATTGCTTTTTATCCTTACATTTTACTAGGCTCGAGAATTACAAGCTCGGGTGCTAAAACGTGTTCAGATGGAACAGCCAGATGCAGTTCCTGCACAGAAACATTTAGCAGCTGAAATTTGTGCAGAGATTGCAAAACATTCTGTTGCTCAGCGAAACTATGAAAAAGCAATTAAGTTTTATAGAGAAGCTCTTGTTCATTGTGAGACAGATAATAAGGTCAGTACCTTTATAAAATTTTCAGGACCTTATATTCCAGCTGTCATCTCATTCCTCAAATGTAAACTTCCTAACAGCTTATTTATAAAGATTTGAAAAGAAATGTACCAAAAATACAAGTTAAAATATTAATATTGGTTTTATAAATGCTGTAAAATACATGATGGCTTGAATTAATAATGCTAGCCTAAAAATTATTATGGAACAAGTGATAAAAAGTAAATCTGTAAGCTTTTCTTTATGTTCATCTATGTTTTAATAATTACTGTAAAACAATTTCTCAATCTCAAATACCTGAATCCAGAGGATTCAGTTCAGTTAACTGAATACCTATTGTATATCAGTCGCTGTTTAGTGCTGGATGTTACAAAAGTGGCTGGATTGAATCTCTTAACCTCAATTGGCACAGTGTTCGAATAAGTGTAAAGATAATATTAGTGTAGAAAATATATACATGGCCAGTATTTTTTGAAAATTTTATTTTGATTTTATTGGCCTGTATCATTGATTTATAATGTTAGTTTCAAGTATACAGTGAAGTGCTTCAGTTATATTTATCTTTTTCAGATTCTTTTCTCACATAGGTTATCACAGGATGTTGAGTAGAGATCCTGTGCTATACAGTGTTTGTTCGTAAAAGTCACCCAGTCATGTCCGACTCTTTGCAACCCCATGGACGATACAGTCCATGGAATTCTCCAGGCCAGAATACTGGAGTGGGATACTTTCCCCCTCCAGGGAAATACTTTCCCTTCCCCAGGGGATCTTCCCAACCCAGGGATCGAACCCTGGACTCCCACATTGCAGGTGGATACTTTATCAGCTGAGCTACCAGGGAAACCCTATCTTGTATCCAGTAGTGTGCGTATGTTAATCCCAAGTGCCTGCCTTATTACCCCCCCCCCCCCCCCCCGTCACATTCCCCTTTGGTAGCCATAAGTTTGTTTTTGATATCTATAAATCTGTTTCTATTTTGTAAATAAGTTCATTTGTATCATTTTTTAACAATTAGATCCCACATATGAATATATCATGATTTTAGTTATTCTGAGTTCACTTAGTATGATAATCTCTAGGTCCATCCATGTTGCTGCAAGTGGCGTTATTTCAGCTTTTTTGTGAGTAATATTCCATTTTAATATGTACCACATCTTCTTTATTCCTCTGTTGATGGACATTTAGGTTGCTTCCATGACTTGGCTGTGGTGAATAGTGCTGCTGTGGACATAGGGATATATGTATCTTTTCCAGTTATGGTTTCTCCAGATATATGCCCAGGAATGAGATTGCTGGATCATATGATAGTTCTATTTTTAGTTGTTTTTTTTTTTTTAAGAAACCTCGTACTGTTCTCCATAGCAGTGGTACCAATTTACATTCCCACCAAGAGTGTAGGAGGGTTCCCTTTCTCTACACCTTCTACAGCATTTGATGTAGACTTTTTTTTTTTGAAGGATAATTGTTTTTACAGAATTTTGTTGTTTTCTGTCAAACCTCAACGTGTGGCTCAGCTGGTAAAGAATCTGCCTGCAATGCAGGAGACCTGGTGTAGACTTTTTGATGATGGTCGTTCTTGACCCAGTGTGAGGTGACACCTCACTGTAATTTTGATTTGCATTTCTCGGATAAGTAGTGACATTGAGCATCTTTTCACCTGCTTTTTTGGCCATCTGTATGTCTTCTTTGGAGAAATGTCTATTTAGATTTTCTGCCCATCTTTTGGTTGGGCTTTTTTGCTTTTTTAATATTGAGCTGCGTGAGCTGTTAATTTTGGAGATGCATTCCTTGTCACGTTGCTTGCAAATATTTTCTCTCATTCTGTGGGTTATCTTATTTATTATGGTTTCCTTTGCTGTGCAGAACTTTTCAGTTTAATTAGGTCCCATTTGTTAATTTTTTTTTTCATGACTCTAGGAGGTGGATCCAAAAAGATGCTGCTGCAGTTTATGTCAAAGAGTGTTCAGTGTTTTCCTCAGAGGGCTTTATAGGTCCGGTCTTACATTCAGGTCTTTGACCCATATTGAGTTTATTTCTATGTGTGGTGTTAGAGAATGTTCTAATTTCATTCTTTTACACGTTTCCTGTAGTTTCACGTGCATGTGTCTTCCTTCAAACCTCTCTCTTGACTTACCTGCCAGAAGGGAGAGGGGAATGGGGGCAGTCAGTTCCCCCCAGGAACCGTCTGCTAGTGTTGATAGTTTTCAGCTAGCATCTCTAGGATTTCCTACTCTCAGATCTTGGTAGATGATTAATATTTTTAAAAAATAGTCCAGTAAGTGTCTAAATATTTAAGTGATGTGAAACACAAAACAGCCATGTTCTAGAATTTTGAAGTTTAAGATTGAACATTTTGAATTGATATAACTCTTTCGGACATAAGGCAAAAATAGTGTTTTTTAAGTCGCAGCCAAAGCCTTGTTCAGTGATGACTGAAGTGACTGAAATCAGAGTTGTAAAATCTGGAGCATATCTGCTTTAAGCCTTTTATTGATATTTTACAAATGAGGAAACAGGTTTAGAGAGGTAAAGGAATGTGGCCCCATCGTGGAGATGCTTGGACTAGAATCTTAGCTGCTAATTTTGGACCTGTTCTTTTCACAATGCTTTGTCTCTCTCTTTTCAAGTGAGTTACAGCCTGTTTTTCCATAATTTTTCCAGTATAAGAGAAACTAGAGATGAGCAACCCTATAGCTTTACCTGCCTGTCGTGGTTGGCATTTTTATTGCACTAACTTTTGGTAAAGTGACATCTGTGCCCTAGACACTTTCCTAACTTTCTGCTCTAGACTGTTTCTGATTAACCTTGTCCTTCTCTATAGATAATGCTGGAGCTGGCCCGATTGTACCTGGTACAAGATGACCCCGACGCCTGCCTGCGGCACTGTGCCCTGCTTCTCCAGAACGACCAGGACAATGAGGCCGCCACCATGGTTAGTCCAGGACACTTCAGCCAGCGAGGCAGCCGTGTCTTGTATTTATTCCATGTGGCAGTTTCAAATTTTACCTGATAAAACTAGTAGTAGATGGGAGGCCTGGCTCTTTTTGGCTTTTGGAAAAAATTATATTTTTAAGATTAGTAGTACATTTTTAGTTTTTCTGTATGACTAAAAGGATGCCTGGTCAGGAATGGTTCATGTAATCAAGTTATAATTTCCTAAAGACTATTTACTTAAACATGCTGGAGTTTTTAACAGTTTCAGTCAGACTTTCTGAATTACAGAGAAAATTCTTCATATAACATTTTAAGACACTGTGTTTTAAATAGTTTTGCTTGTCTTTCTCAATTTTAGGAGGGTTGAGGCTTTGTCAGTTTTTCAAACAGCTTCATAGATGACAGTTTGTGAGGTTCATTTAATAATTTGACAAATGAGTCACTATAACTGAAAAATACAAGAACTCTCCCTTTTAAAACACATAATAAGAAAATCTCAGTAAGTCTTGCTCGTTTAAAATTCCTTTGAAATATTATTTTGGGTTTTTATAAGATTTTCTTGTTATTTTTACAAAGTCCAGTGAAGTGTCTTCTCTATGATAACACATAGAGTGCAGTTTCCTCCAAATTTCTGTTTTAAAAATAACTGCTTAAAACATATTTCTGCTAAAAATAGTTTTTGTGAACAGAGAGACCTGTTTCACATCCTTGATGGATCTCAGTGCTAATCTGCTTAAGGTGTACTTGAATTTTAAACGGCTCCGTTTTATAAAACTTTGCCCTCACGGTTCTCCTATGTGTCTTCATAGCAGTCAACCTTGATAGGAATAATATGCTTTGTAAAATACATGGCTGTATTTTTAGAACCAACTTTTACCTTTATAGATGATGGCAGATCTCATGTTCAGAAAACAGGACTATGAACAAGCCGTGTTTCATTTACAACAGCTTTTAGAACGAAAACCAGGTAAATATCCGCTGGTTTTATCTTCAAATGCAGTTAACTCCCTTTCTCTTTTTGGCTGTTACACTTGAAAAAACCACACCCTTGGTCAGATCCAACACTGCTTATTCCACACCTGCCCTTGAGCAGCTCAGATGATTATAAGGAAAATGACTGGTCATTAAAGTCACTGGTCTCATTTTAAGACCACCAACCCCAAATGTGCCCTCAGATGCTACCAGGCAATCCTGCTGTCTCTCTCTGATGAATTCACTCACTCCATCTCCGTTTTACACTTCTTCCTCTCGCTCCTATCCCCAGCCCTTTCCCCACCTCAGGTCTGCCACCCCCCCTGCAGCACTGCTCCGGGTGGGCACTGGATGCTCCCCTTGCTTCCTGAAGGGTTTGCCTTCTGGCGTCTGTGTCTCCTGCACCGTCATTTTCTTTGCAGATGGCACGTAAATAGGCTGTGCCAGCTCCCACCTCTCCATTCACTCTCCCCTCCCACCCCCTGCTCCACCTCTCCATTTTCCTCAGGGATTTCTGTCTGTGCTGTCTTCACTGTCTCCTGCCTCCAGGGAGGCTGTCAGGGCGGCCAGGGACCTCCATGTTTCCGGATCGAGGTCTAGTTCTAGTTCTCTGCTTCCCCAGGTCTGACAGTGTATTTAGCACAGCTTATCCCCATCCTTCGTCAGAGCCTTTCTTCACTTCTGGGACGCTGGGCTTACCTGGCTTTTCTTCTCCCAGCTGACTGTTCTATTTCACTCTCCTTTGTTAGATCTATCTCCTCTTTATGACGTTTAATTTTCAGAATGTTTTAGACATCTGATCTCAAACTTTTGCCCATCTTTAATACCTTCACCACACTCTTATGACTTCATCCAGACCCAGTGTCCTTCCTGTCCGGGGTGCAGTCTTAACTCATCTACACCACTGCTAGTTTGCACTCCCACGCGGGTGCCTGGGAGGCTCTTCAGCTTAACCTGTCCAAAGTAGAACACCGGGTCTTTTCCTTCCCTCCAGACCTGCTCCTTCTCTTTTTCTTTCAGTAAAGGGCATTATGCATTTGCTCTGGTCTCCAGCCTTCTAGTTACCTTTGTCTCATCTTTTCCTCATACACCACATCCAGCATGTGAGCAATATACAGCCACCAGCGTCGGATATATTTCCAGGTACATAGATGCTGCAAACTAAATATTTACTGGTTAAATGGATCAATGAATGAAAAATACCAAGTTGTTTAAAAATACAAAATTTTAAGTAAACTTTTATTGTCTATGTGATATTTTATGCTTTTAATCTTGCATTCTATGCTTTATTCCTAATAGGACTTTATAGACTTATCTACTAGTCAGTTTTTTCAGAATTATTCTAAAACCTGCACAATACTTCATGTGTGTTACAGATCATTCTCAGTAGAACATCTTATACTTTAATATTGTGTTTGAGCTTACTTCAGAAATGTACTAATTTGACTTAACCTAGCTAGTAGAAAATTCTCTTTATAGATCTAATTATTGCACTCTCAACAGATTACAAACCTTTTCTCTCTCAAAATCTCCAGATCATCCTGAGTTTTCCCCCTCCCTCACACTAATTGGTTAGCAAGTCCCATTAGTTCTCTCTGCTTAACAGTGAACTATCACATCCTATCTTCTCCTAGCCCCCTGCTCTAATTAAGGACTTTATTAACCTGGCGCTAGTGGTAAAGAATCCACTTGCCAAGCTGGAGACAAGTTCAGTCCCTGGGTTGGGAAGATCCCCTGGAGTAGGAAATGGCAGCCCACTCCAATATTCTTGCCTGGGAAATCCCATGGACAGAGGCGCCTGGCAGGCTACAGTCCATGGGGTCTGAAAGAATTGGACACGACTGAAGCGACTTCGCATGTACCTCTCACATGGGCTAGTGCAGTTTCCCAGCTGATCTTCCAGTCTCTGGGCTCTTGCTCTTCCAGGCCATTACAGGACTATCATATTCATTCTAAAACTATTCTTCTGCTTTAAAAAAGTCTAAAAGTCTAAAATAGAGCATTATTTTGATCGTAATATATGCCAGGGGTATCCTTCCATCTGTATTTCGTATCCCACTTCCTCTAATTCAGTACACTGCACTCTCCATTCGATTATTGGTCCTGTCTTTGCACATGCTGTCTGCCCTTTGAATAACAAGATCCCCCTCCTGCCCTTCAGGCTGCTCGAAGGTCTGTCCAATGTGAAACCTTTTCTTCCTCCCCCAGGCAATCTTAGGAATTCTGTGCACTGAAATGCCATCACACTTCGTTCCTTGTTACATCACACTGTGTGGGTTTTTTTTGTTTTTTTAGTAAGTCCTCACTATTCATCAATAATCATGTTTCAAAATATAATACATTTCATCTTTTGACAGATTTCTTAAGTGTACAAATTTATCCTCTGTCAAATTTCATGGTTAACCAAAAGACAAGTTAATGCAATCTAACCTATCAGTGGTAATTATAACTTCAACTAATAATAAATGCATTTCAGTAATATTTTAAGGTGATAATTATTCAAAAAACTGGCCTCCTAAGGTTGACTTTATATCAGCAATATCATACATCACACCCATTAGCAAAGTCATATCAAAAATTGGGGGCCACAAATTTCATCCTAAATTTACTTCTTGTCTAATTCAATATAGCTTTTAGATTCTATGGCTTTTTTATAGGGTAGTCCTAGTTTTTATTACAATATTTGGAATTATATATATTACTGTTGATGTTTGTAGTTTTAAGCTCTTTAATGCTTTTATTTTACTTGATTTCCATGGCACTCTCAAGGTCAATATTATAACCCTATTTTAAGAAAGTAAGTGATCCCAGACTCAGAGAATTTGAGTAATTTGCTTGAATTTGCATAGTCAAAGAAAAATAGAAAGTGAAGTTGCTCAGTCTTGTCCAACTCTCTGTGACCCCATGGACTGTAGCCTACCAGGCTCCTCCATCCATGGTATTTTCCAAGCAAGAGTACTGGAGTGGGTTGCCATTTCCTTCTCCAGGGGATTTCCCTGACCCAGCAATCAAACCCGGGTCTGTTGCGTTGCAGGCAGATGCTTTCCCGTCTAAGCCACCAGGGAAGCTGAGTTTCATAGTCTAAGGACAATACAAATATCTGAATCTTCTTTCCAAAACCATATTCATATCATATCCTCTTTTTAATGATGCCAAAGGCAGAGGCAATAAAATTTTGAAACCAAACATTATGGGTTAAGAAAGGCAAATGTGGGTGGGGGGTGTGGTCAAGATGGCAGAGTATTAGGACATGAAGTTTACCTCCTCCCACAAATACATCAAAAATATATCTACATGTGGAATGACTGTCATAGAATATCTACTGAATGTTGGCAGAAGACCTCAGACCTCTAAAGGACAAGAAAATCTCCACATAACCTGGTAGAACAAAAGAAAAAAGAAAAGCAAAAAAGTGAGAAAGGAATTAGGGATGGAACCTGCCCTCCTGGGAGCGAGCTGTGAAAGAGGAAAGGTTCTTGCACCCTGGGAGGTCCCCTGACGGGGAGATCAGCTGAAACAGAGGGGGCGCTTTGGAGCCTTGGAGAATGCAGCAACTGGTTTTGCTCCAGCTGGAACGGAGAGAGACCTACACAGTCAGTGCCACCTCTGCACTCACCACCTGGAAACATGTGTCCACCAGCGTGGGTGGGGGCTTGGTAAAGAAGCTCAGGCTTCAGAGATCAGATCCAGGGAGTAAAGTGGGGTGGGCTATGCAGAACCCTCAAGATGCTAGAGTCTGCAACTGTACCTGAGGATGTAGGCAGAAGACGCCTGGTCTGCTTTAGAGGCTGGGCATCACTGTGTGGGTGGTGTGCAAGGGGAGGGATGGAACTCGCCATTACAGCCTTTTTTCCATTGTGAGCACTCAGATGTCAAGACACAGCCTGCACGAGCTCCAGGAGCCACCACTGCCCCTAGGGCTTCAGAGGTGGTCGTGAGCTACCAGCATTGCCCTGCTCCATGCTTCGGACAGGTCTCCAGCCAATGACTCTGTCCTCCTGGGCTCCCTGAGCAGTCATGAGCTGCCTCTGTTCCCACTGCATGTTCTAGGGGCGTCTGGGAGCCACCACCACTGCTGAGAGCCCCATGACTGGGCACCAGCAACTGCATCTGGATCTCCTCTTCAAGGGGATAATGACCAGCCCACACTAAGGAAAGAGGCAACAAGCATCCATACAATAAACAACCCTCACACCAAAAATATTAATCCCACATGAGCTCCATAGGGATGCTCCCACATATAAATAGGCCTCCAAGACCACAGTGCATAACTGTTTCTCCTAAACTCAGAGTAAGAGAAATAGAAGTAAAATGAAGCAGAGGAACCACTCCCAGTTAAAAGACTAAAAGAACTCCCCTGAAAAAGCAGGCAATGAAACAGACCTCTTTAGTTAACAGACACCAATCTCAAAAAGAAGATAATGAAAATACTGAAGGAATTAAGAAAGGCTGTCAACAGAAATGCAGAGTACTTTAGAAAGGAACCAGAAAATGTAAAAAAAAAAAAAAAGAAAAAAAGAACCAAGGAAAATTAGAAAACTCATTTACCAAGACAAAAACTGAACTAAAGGCAATGAATAATGGAATAAATAATGCAGAAGAATGAATAAGTAACCTGGAAGATAGAATAATGAAAAACACCCAATCAGGACAGAAGGTCAATGAAAAAAAAATGAAAGCAATATTTGAGACCTTTGGATAATTTACCATGCCAATCTATGCATAATAGGGATTCCAGAAGGGGAAGAAAGAGAAAAAGAGCTCAAAACCACATATGAAGAAATTATGGCTAAAAACTTCCCAAAACCTAAAGAAAGAAACAGACACCCAGGTCCTACAAGAAGTACAGAGGTAGGAAATCATTCACACACCAATATGATACCAAAACCAGCAGTTGTGAGGAGAGTACAAATGCAGGATATTGAAAAGGCACTTGAAATAAAAAAAAAACAGCAACTTAAAAGCAATCTTGTTTATATATAGACTGCTATATCA